GGTTTTTTCCTTTTTTTCCCAAAAACCCGGGGGATGGGGGGGGGGGTTCCCCTTTAAAACCCTTTTTTTTGGGTTTTTTCCAAAAAAAAAAAGGGGGGGGGGGGGGGGGGGGGAAAAAAAAAAAGGGTTTTTTTTTTTTTTTGGGGGGGTTTCGGGGGGGGGTTTTTTTGGGGGGGGGCCTGGGGGGGGGGGAAAAAACCCCCGGGGGGTTGCCTTTTTGGGGTTAAATTTTATGGGGGGGTTGTGGGGGGGGGTTTTTCCCAAGGCCCCTTTTAAAGGGGGGGTTTTTTTTTTTTCCCCTTTTTTTTTTTTTTTTTTTCCTTTTTCCCCCCTTTTTTTAAAATTTTTTTTTTTGGGGTTTTGGGGGTTTTTTTTTTTAAAAAAGGGGGGGGGGGTGGGGGGGGGGGGGGAAAGGGTTTTGGGGGTGGGGGGGGGGGGGCGGCGGGGGGGGGGGGGGAAAAGGGGGGGGGGGTTTTTTCCCCCTTTTCCCCCCCCTTTTTCCCTTTTGGGGCCCCCCCCCGGGGGGGGGGTTTTTCGTTTCGGGTTTTTTTTTTCCCCCCCCCCCCCTTTTTGGGGGGGGGGGGGGGGGCCCCCCCCGGGGGAAAAAATTTTTTTTTGGGGGGGGGCCCCCCGGGGGGTTTTTTAATTTTTTTTCCCCCCCCCAAAAAAATTTTTTTTTGGGGGAAAAAAAAAAAAACCCCCCCCAAAAATTCCCCAAAGGGGAAATTTAAAAAAAAACCCCCTTTTTTGGTTTCTAAAAAAATTTCAAAAGTTTTCCCTTTTTTAAAACCCCAAAAAACCCCAATGTGTAAAAAAATTTTTAATTTTTTTTTGGCCCCCCCGGTTTACCGGAACCCCCAAAAATTTTCCCACCCAAAAAAACCCTTTTTTTTTTGGGGAAAAATTTGGGGAAAATTTTTAAAACAAAAAAAAAAAAACCAAAACCCCCCCCGGGGGGTTTTTTGGAAATTTTTTTTTTAAAAAAAAAAAAATTTTTTTTTTAAAAGCCCCAAAAAAAATTTTTCCCCCCCCCCCCCCCCCCCTTTTTTTCCCACCGGCCGTCTTGGGGGGGAAAAAAAAAACCCTTTGGGGGGGAAAACGGGAAAAATTTTGGGGGGGGAAAAAGGCCCCGGGAAAAAAAAAGGGGGGGGGGGGGCAAAAGGGGGGGAAAAGGGGGGAAAAAAAACCCCAAAAAGGGGGGGAAGGGGAAAAGGGGGGGGGGAGGGGGGAGGGGGGGGGAAAAAGGGGGGGAGGGGGGAAAGAAGGGGAAAAAAAAAGGGGGGGGGGGGGGAAAAAGGGGGGGGGGGGGGGGGGGGGGGGGAGGGGGGGGAAAAAGGGGGGGGGGGGGGAAAAAGGGGGGGGGAAAAGGGGGGGGGGAAAAAAGGGGGGAAAAGGGGGGGGGGAGGGGGGAAAAAGGGGGGGAAAAGGGGAGGGGGAAGGGGGGGGGTTTTTTAAAAAGGGGGGGGGGGAAAAAAAGGGGGGAAAAAAAGGGGGGGGGTTTTTTAAAAAAAAAGGGGGGGGAAAAAAGGGGGGGGGGCCCCCCCCCCAAAAAAATTTTTTTTTTCCCCCCCCCCCCTTTCCCCCCCCCCCCCCCCAAAAAAAGGGGGGGGGCCCGGGGGGGGGGTTTTTTTGTTTTTTTTTTTTTTTGGGGGGGGTTTTTTTTTTTTGGGGGGGGTTTTTTTTTTCCGGGGGGGGGGGGTTTTGGGGGGTTTTGGGGGGGGGAAAGGGGGGGGGGGGAGGGGGGGGGGGGGGGGGCCCCCTTTTTTTTTTTTGGGGGGGGGGGAAAAAAAAAAGGGGGGGGGGGGGGGGGTTTTTTAAAGGGGGGGAAAACCAAGGAAAAAAAAAAAGGGGGGGGGGGGGCCCCCTTTTTTTTTTGGGGGGGGGGCCCCTTTGGGGGAAAAAGGAGGGAAGGGGGGGGGTTTTTTTTTTTAATTTTTTTTGTTTTTTGGGGGCCCTTTTTTTGGTTTTTAAAAGTTTTTTTTTTTTTTTTTCCCCCTTTTTTTTCCCCCTTTTTAATTTTTTTTTTTTTTTTTTTTTTTTGGGGAAAATTTTTCCCCCTTTTTGGGCCTTTTTTTTTTTTTTCCCCCCCCTTTTTTTTTCCCCCCTTTTTTTTTGGGTTTTTTCTCTTTTTTTTTTTTTTTTTTTTTTTTTTTCCCCCCCCCCCCCCCCCCCTTTTTTTTCTCTTTTTTTTTTTTTCCCCCCTTTTTTTTTTTTTCCCCTCTCTCTCCCCCCCCTTTTTTTTATTCTTCTCCCCCCCCTTTTTTTTTTCCCCTTTTTTTTTTTTTTTTCCCCCCCTTTCCCCCTTCTTTTTTTTTTTCCCCCCCCCCTTCCCCTTTTTCCCCTTTTTTTTTCCCCCTTTTTTTTTTTTTTTCCCCCGGGGGTTTTTTTGGGTTCCCTTTTTTTTTTTAAAAAATCCCTTTCCCCCCCTTTAAAAAAAAAAAACTTGGTTTATTTTTTTTAAAATTTTCCCCCTTTTAAAAAGGGGGGGGGGGCCCCCCCAAAAAAAATTTTTTTAAAAGGGGGGAAAAGGCCCCCCCGGGGGGCCCCCAAAAAAAGGGGGAAAAAAAAAAACCCCTTTTCCCCCCCCGGGGCCCCGGGGAACCAAAAAAAGGGCCCCCCTTAAAAAAAAATTTTTTTTTGGGCCCCCAAAAAAAAGGGGAAAAAAAAAAGGGGGAAAAAACCCCCAAAAATTTGGGGGGGGGGGGGGGAAAAGGAGAGAAAAAAGGGGGGGGGAAAGAGGGGAAAGGAGGGGGGGGGGGGGGAAAAAAAGGGGGGGGGGGGGGAAAAAAAAAAGGGGGGGGGGTTTGGGGGGAAAAGGGAAGGGGAGGAAGAGGGGGGGGAAAAAAGAAAGGGGGGGAAAAGGGTTTGGGGGGAAAGGAGAAAAGGGAAGAGGGGGGGGGAAAGAAAAAAAAGGGGAGAGAGGGGGGAAAAAGGAAAAAAGGGGGGGAAAAAGGGGGGGGGGGGGGAAAAAGGGGGGGGAAAAAAAAAAAAGGGGGGGGAAAAAGGGGGGGGGAAAAAAGGGGGAAGGGGGGGGGGGGGGTTTTTTTTTTTTGGGGGGGGTTTTTTGGGGGGGGGGAAAAAGGGGGGGGGAAATTTTGGGGGGTTTTGGAAAAGGGGGGAAAGGGGGGGGGGGGAGGGGGTTTTAAGGGGAGGGAGAAAAAAGGGGAGAGAAAAAAAAAAAAAAGGGGGAAGGGGGGAAAAAAAAAAGGGGGGGGGAAAAAAAGGGGGGAAAGGAGATTTTTGGGGTTTTTTTGGAAAAGGGGCCCCCGATTTTTTTAAAAGTTTTTTCCCTTGGGGGGGTTTTTTTTTCCTTTTTTTTTTTTTCCCCCCCCCCTTTCCCCCCCCCCACCCCCCCCCCCCCCCCCCCCCCCCCCCCCCCCCCCCCCCCGGGGCCCCCCCGGGGGGGGGGGAAAAAATTTTTTTTTGGGGTTTTTCCCTTTTTTTTTTTTTTTAATTTCCCTTTAACCCTTTTTTTGGGGGAAAAAAAAAAAGGGGGGAAAAAAATTTTTAATACCCCAAAAAAAAAACCCCCCTTTTTGGAACATTAGAGAAAAGGGGGGAAAGGAGCGAGAGAGAGTAGCGAGAGAGAGTTGGACGGGAAGAGATAGAAGCGGAGAGATGAGAAGGAGAGGAGAAGAGAGTAGGCGAGAGCAGAAAGTTTGGACAGGGAGAGAGGAGAAGGGGCGAGATAGCAAGGAGAGAGAGAAGAGAGTAGGCGAGATGAAGTTTGGACAGGGAGCGAGGAAGGGAGAGAGAGAAGACGCAGAGAGAGAGATAGGGCGAGGGAGAGGAAGTTTGGACAGGACGAGAGGAGAAGGGAGAGATGAGAGATAGAAGGATAGCGAGAAGAGAGTAGGCGAGAGAGAAGTTTGGACAGGGAGAGAGAGAAGGGAGAGATAGAAGGAGAGAGAGAAGTTTGGACAGGGAGAGAGAAGTTTGGACAGGGAGAGAGAAGTTTGGACAGGGAGAGAGAAGTTTGGACAGGGAGAGAGAAGTTTGGACAGGGAGAGAGAAGTTTGGACAGGGAGAGAGAAGTTTGGACAGGGAGAGAGAAGTTTGGACAGGGATAGAGAAGTTTGGACAGGGAGAGAGAAGTTTGGACAGGGAGAGAGAAGTTTGGACAGGGAGAGAGAAGTTTGGACAGGGAGAGAGAAGTTTGGACAGGGAGAGAGAAGTTTGGACAGGGAGAGAGAAGTTTGGACAGGGAGAGAGAAGTTTGGACAGGGAGAGAGTGACAGAGAGATTTCTGGCAGCAGCTGCTGATATATATGGAAAACAGATTTGATTCTGCTCCGATTTCAGTCAGTTGAGGAGCTACTCACTTTTTTTTCCTGTAACCCTCCTTCCCTTCCCCCCACCTCTCACCCTCTTCCCCATCACCCCCCCCCCCACACCCCACCCCCCACCCCCCCACCGGCCTCTCCTGGGGATAACTGTGGCCTGGACGTTTGAAACATATTTCTGTAGTCTTGGCTATTGCCTCGTCTGTATCAGTCCTATTAATCTGAGTGATATTGGCTGTTAACCACAGATTACATTACAGGGGCATCTTGATTAAACTAATTAAATTAGATGACATCAATAGCGCTTGTCAATCACCCTAAACAAATGCGAAGAATTCATCGTTGTTCTAGGCATTCATTTCGTTAAGCTATAAAACAATAATCATATACATTTCTATAACTGAATGCACAATTGTACAAACTCACTTTTTGTTTCTTTCTCTCTCCCTCTCCCCCCTCCCTCCCTCCTCCCTCTTTCTCTCTCTCTCTCTCTTCCCCTCCCTCCTCCCTCCTTCAGACTCTATAAACCAGGACAACAGGTCAGGAGGCTCAAGCAGCAGTGACGGCATTCTGGGGTCAAAGGTCGCTGTGTTCTCAGCCATTGGAGCCGGCTGCATCATCTTCCTCCTCCTCATCCTCTTCCTCGTCATCCTGCTCATCAAGATGAGGAAGAGATCCCGGAAGCACTCTCACGCCCAGCCCCACCCCTCCGCCCTGTCACTCAGCACGCTGTCCAATCAGAACAAGCTGCCTGGCAGCGGGGGCACAGCCGGGACGGAACCCAATGACCTCATCATCCCGCTACGGACAGAGAATAACTACTGCCCTCACTACGAGAAGGTGAGCGGTGACTACGGACATCCTGTTTATATCGTACAGGAGATGCCTCCGCAGAGCCCAGCAAACATCTACTACAAAGTCTGAGAGAGGAGGAGAGAACATTTATTACAAAGTCTGAGAGGACAGGAGCGATTGAACATCCACTACGGTGTGAGTTAAAGAAAGAAGTAGAGGAGCGATTGATTACTCTACTACTGGACTAACGTTTTATTTTAACTTGGGGACTTCGCTTTTAACAAGCCCATGTTTTTCTACCACCTACTGACCTGAGGAGAAGGACACCTGACAGTGGACCATGGACTGATCGAGAAAAACTGAACTGTCCAGAAACTGTCCAGTACATCTCGTCTTGTTGTTTGGCTCTGTAGTATGATGTTTTACTCTCTATCCTCCTGTCCTCTATCCTCCTGTCCTCTATCCTCCTGTCCTCTATCCTCCTGTCCTCTATCCTCCTGTACTATCCTCCTGTCCTCTATCCTCCTGTCCTCTCCTCCTGTCCTCCTCTCCTCCTGTCCTCTATCCTCCTGTCCTCTCCCCCTGTCCTCTATCCTCCTGTTCTCTCCTCCTGTCCTCTATCCTCCTGTTCTCTATCCTCCTGTCCTCTATAATCATGTCCTCCATCCTCCTGTCCTCTCCTCCTGTCCTCTATCCCCCTGTCCTCTATCCTCCTGTCCTCTCCTCCTATGCTCTCTCCTCCTGTCCTCTGTTTGTCACAGGAGGCTGGTGGGAGTAGCTATAGGAGGACAGGCTCATTGTAATGGCTGGAATGGAATAAATGGAACGGTATCAAACATATGGAAACGACATGTTTGACTCCGTTCCATTAATTCCATTCCAGCCATTAAAATGAGCTTGTCCTCCTATAGCTACTCCCACCAGCCTCCACTGATGTGTGTGTGTGTGTGTGTGTGTGTGTGTGTGTGTGTGTGTGTGTGTGTGTGTGTGTGTGTGTGTGTTTGTGTGTCAGGCAGACCTCTGCTGGGGATCCAGATAGCGTGTGTGTTCCTCTCTCCCCTCACACCTCTACTGTCTCTAGCCTCACACCTCTACTGTCTCTACCCTCACACCTCTACTGTCTCTACCCTCACACCTCTACTGTCTCTAGCCTCACACCTCTACTGTCTCTAGCCTCACACCTCTACTGTCTCTACCCTCACACCTCTACTGTCTCTACCCTCACACCTCTACTGTCTCTACCCTCACACCTCTACTGTCTCTACCCTCACACCTCTACTGTCTCTAGCCTCACACCTCTACTGTCTCTACCCTCACACCTCTACTGTCTCTACCCTCACACCTCTACTGTCTCTACCCTCACACCTCTACTGTCTCTAGCCTCACACCTATACTGTCTCTACCCTCACACCTCTACTGTCTCTACCCTCACACCTCTACTGTCTCTCCCCTCACACCTCTACTGTCTCTACCCTCACACCCTCTACTGTCTCTACCCTCACACCTCTACTGTCTCTACCCTCACACCTCTACTGTCTTACCACTCACACATCTACTGTCTCTACCCTCACACCTCTACTGTCTCTACCCTCACACCTCTACTGTCTCTACCCTCACACCTCTACTGTCTCTCCCCTCACACCTCTACTGTCTCTACCCTCACACCTCTACTGTCTCTACCCTCACACCTCTACTGTCTCTACCCTCACACCTCTACTGTCTATACCCTCAACACCTCTACTGTTATCTACCCTCACAACCTCTACTGTCTCTACCCTCACACCTCTACTGTCTCTACCCTCACACCTTCACTGTCTCTACCCTCACACCTCTACTGTCTCTAGCCTCACACCTCTACTGTCTCTAGCCTCACACCTCTACTGTCTCTACCCTCACACCTCTACTGTCTCTACCCTCACACCTCTACTGTCTCTACCCTCACACCTCTACTGTCTCTACCCTCACACCTCTACTGTCTCTAGCCTCACACCTCTACTGTCTCTACCCTCCACACCTCTACTGTCTCTACCCTCACACCTCTACTGTCTCTAGCCTCACACCTCTACTGTCTGCCTTACTGTCTGTAGTATGATCCTACATCACTCCACAGACCTGTTGTATTTTAGTAGCTTTCCCTACAAATACATCTACATGTATAGAAGCTAAGATCTCACTGTTTCCTCCACTCTTTCACCAACACCATCACCCTCTCATTTTCCCATGGATATTACCTGGGTCTGCACTGTTTATGGACAGGTCCATCGTCTGTGTGTGTGTGTGTGTGTGTGTGTGTGTGTGGTGTGTGTGTGTGTCTGTGTGTGTGTGTGGTGTGTGTGTGTGTGTATGTGTGTGTGTGTGTGTGTGTGTATATATTCCACCAGCCTGATAGGATCTTAGCCATGCTCCAGGTATGTATGACCTCTTTTTAGTGCTGTGTGTGTTTGAGACTGTCTTTTGAGGTGTGGGGGGCGGAGGTTTGTTAAAAGAGATAGTCATGTGACTAACGGAAGAGAAGTCAGTAGGATGGAACTAAAGTATAAAGATGAGTGGGGACCACATTGTTGGATGGAACTGAAGTAGAAAGATGAGTGGGGACCACATTGTTGGATGGAACTGAAGTAGAAAGATGAGTGGGGACCACATTGTTGGATGGAACTAGAGGAGTAAGATGAGACGGGACCACATTGTTGGATGGATGCTCCAGGCCTGTTGAGTGTTGGTCAGTGTGTGATGCTCCAGGCCTGTTGAGTGTTGGTCAGTGTGTGTTGCTCCAGGCCTGTTGAGTGTTGGTCAGTGTGTGTTGCTCCAGGCCTGTTGCGTGTTGGTCAGTGTGTGATGCTCCAGGCCTGTTGAGTGTTGGTCAGTGTGTGATGCTCCAGGCCTGTTGAGTGTTGGTCAGTGTGTGATGCTCCAGGCCTGTTGAGTGTTGGTCAGTGTGTGATGCTCCAGGCCTGTTGAGTGTTGGTCAGTGTGTGTTGCTCCAGGCCTGTTGAGTGTTGGTCAGTGTGTGATGCTCCAGGCCTGTTGAGTGTTGGTCAGTGTGTGTTGCTCCAGGCCTGTTGAGTGTTGGTAGGTGTGTGATGCTCCAGGCCTGTTGAGTGTTGGTCAGTGTGTGATGCTCCAGGCCTGTTGAGTGTTGGTCAGTGTGTGATGCTCCAGGCCATGTTGAGTGTTGGTCAGTGTGTGATGCTCCAGGCCTGTTGAGTGTTGGTCAGTGTGTGATGCTCCAGGCCTGTTGAGTGTTGGTCAGTGTGTGATGCTCCAGGCCTGTTGAGTGTTGGTCAGTGTGTGATGCTCCAGGCCTTGTGAGTGTTGGTCAGTGTGTGATGCTCCAGGCCTGTTGAGTGTTGGTCAGTGTGTGATGCTCCAGGCCTGTTGAGTGTTGGTCAGTGTGTGATGCTCCAGGCCTGTTGAGTGTTGGTCAGTGTGTGATGCTCCAGGCCTGTTGAGTGTTGGTCAGTGTGTGATGCTCCAGGCCTGTTGAGTGTTGGTCAGTGTGTGATGCTCCAGGCCTGTTGAGTGTTGGTCAGTGTGTGATGCTCCAGGCATTGTGAGTGTTGGTCAGTGTGTGATGCTCCAGGCCTGTTGAGTGTTGGCTCCTGTCTGTGGATGACTCAGCTGAGGCTGGAGTGATTCAGTAGCACTCACACAGCATGACTAATCAACATGCCAACACTGACACACACACGTGCACCCACACACTCACACACTCACACACTCACACACACACACACACAAGTGTACACCCACGTACGCACTAGCCATGATGAGAATAACAGATGACAGCACAAGGATGACGGGGGAGGAGAGGACAGGAGGAAGAGAGGAGAAGGAGAGGAGAGGAGAGAGGAGAGGAGTAGAGGAGAGAGGAGAGGAGGAGGAGAAGAGAGGAGAGAGGAGAGGAGGAGGAGGAGAAGGAGGAGAGAGGAGAGAGGAGAGGAGGAGGAGAAGAGAGGAGAGAGGAGAGGAGGAGGAGAGAGGAGAGAGGAGAGGAAAGAGGAGGAGAGGAGAAGAGAGGAGGAGGAGAGGAGAGAGAGAGAGAAGGTAGAAAGAGGGAGAATTTTCCACCCGCAAGGTGTTCAGTCACTGAGGAGATTCCAGCTTCAGCTATCAGAACAGGACAGAGTCAGGATTAGGTTCAGCGCCTGTGTGTGCGGTCTGCATTGGGCGAAGTAGTCCCATAGCGTAGAGAATGCTTGTCTTGGAAATTAACAAATAGATTAATCATGGACTCTGTCTACCAAATACCAACTAGTAGTACTTCAGACAATACAATACAATACCATGAGAATAGACTGAGTTTAGACAGATAACCACGTATTGACAGATAGTGAGGAGAATCCTGAGTGTCTGTGAGTTTGCCTGAAATCCAGTCATGTTTGGAGTGGCAGGGATTCGCATGATGGCACTAACTGACTTTTAGTTACATTCTACCTCATCACAGTGTCACCACCACAAAACTATTTCTCCATTCTATTCTTCTTCATTGGTGTGATCTATTAGTGTTCTAAATGATATGGCCCAAAATGTCTCTAGCCTCACACCTCTACTGTCTCTACCCTCACACCTCTACTGTCTCTACCCTCACACCTCTACTGTCTCTAGCCTCACACCTCTACTGTCTCTAGCCTCACACCTCTACTGTCTCTACCCTCACACCTCTACTGTCTCTACCCTCACACCTCTACTGTCTCTACCCTCACACCTCTACTGTCTCTACCCTCACACCTCTACTGTCTCTAGCCTCACACCTCTACTGTCTCTACCCTCACACCTCTACTGTCTCTACCCTCACACTCTACTGTCTCTACCCTCACACCTCTACTGTCTTAGCCTCACACCTATACTGTCTCTACCCTCACACCTCTACTGTCTCTACCCTCACACCTCTACTGTCTCTCCCTCACACTTACTGTCTCTACCTCACACCTCTACTGTCTCTACCCTCACACCTCTACTGTCTCTCACCCTCACAACTCTACTGTCTCTACCCTCACACTTACTGTCTCTACCTCACACCTCTACTGTCTCTACCCTCACACTCTACTGCTCTACCCTCACACCTCTACTGTCTCTCCCTCACACCTCTACTGTCTCTACCCTCACACTCTACTGTCTCTACCCTCACACTCTACTGTCTCTACCCTCACACCTCTACTGTCTCTACCCTCACACCTCTACTGTCTATACCCTCACACCTCTACTGTCTCTACCCTCACACCTCTACTGTCTCTACCCTCACACCTCTACTGTCTCTACCCTCACACCTTCACTGTCTCTACCCTCACACCTCTACTGTCTCTAGCCTCACACCTCTACTGTCTCTAGCCTCACACCTCTACTGTCTCTACCCTCACACCTCTACTGTCTCTACCCTCACACCTCTACTGTCTCTACCCTCACACCTCTACTGTCTCTACCCTCACACCTCTACTGTCTCTAGCCTCACACCTCTACTGTCTCTACCCTCACACCTCTACTGTCTCTACCCTCACACCTCTACTGTCTCTAGCCTCACACCTCTACTGTCTGCCTTACTGTCTGTAGTATGATCCTACATCACTCCACAGACCTGTTGTATTTTAGTAGCTTTCCCTACAAATACATCTACATGTATAGAAGCTAAGATCTCACTGTTTCCTCCACTCTTTCACCAACACCATCACCCTCTCATTTTCCCATGGATATTACCTGGGTCTGCACTGTTTATGGACAGGTCCATCGTCTGTGTGTGTGTGTGTGTGTGTGTGTGTGTGTGTGTGTGTGTGTGTCTGTGTGTGTGTGTGTGTGTGTGTGTGTGTATGTGTGTGTGTGTGTGTGTGTGTGTATATATTCCACCAGCCTGATAGGATCTTAGCCATGCTCCAGGTATGTATGACCTCTTTTTAGTGCTGTGTGTGTTTGAGACTGTCTTTTGAGGTGTGGGGGGCGGAGGTTTGTTAAAAGAGATAGTCATGTGACTAACGGAAGAGAAGTCAGTAGGATGGAACTAAAGTATAAAGATGAGTGGGGACCACATTGTTGGATGGAACTGAAGTAGAAAGATGAGTGGGGACCACATTGTTGGATGGAACTGAAGTAGAAAGATGAGTGGGGACCACATTGTTGGATGGAACTAGAGGAGTAAGATGAGACGGGACCACATTGTTGGATGGATGCTCCAGGCCTGTTGGTCAGTGTGTGTTGCTCCAGGCCTGTTGAGTGTTGGTAGGTGTGTGATGCTCCAGGCCTGTTGAGTGTTGGTCAGTGTGTGATGCTCCAGGCCTGTTGAGTGTTGGTCAGTGTGTGATGCTCCAGGCCTGTTGAGTGTTGGTCAGTGTGTGATGCTCCAGGCCTGTTGAGTGTTGGTCAGTGTGTGATGCTCCAGGCCTGTTGAGTGTTGGTCAGTGTGTGATGCTCCAGGCCTTGTTGAGTGTTGGTCAGTGTGTGATGCTCCAGGCCTTGTGAGTGTTGGTCAGTGTGTGATGCTCCAGGCCTGTTGAGTGTTGGTCAGTGTGTGATGCTCCAGGCCTGTTGAGTGTTGGTCAGTGTGTGATGCTCCAGGCCTGTTGAGTGTTGGTCAGTGTGTGATGCTCCAGGCCTGTTGAGTGTTGGTCAGTGTGTGATGCTCCAGGCCTGTTGAGTGTTGGTCAGTGTGTGATGCTCCAGGCCTGTTGAGTGTTGGTCAGTGTGTGATGCTCCAGGCATTGTGAGTGTTGGTCAGTGTGTGATGCTCCAGGCCTGTTGAGTGTTGGCTCCTGTCTGTGGATGACTCAGCTGAGGCTGGAGTGATTCAGTAGCACTCACACAGCATGACTAATCAACATGCCAACACTGACACACACACGTGCACCCACACACTCACACACTCACACACTCACACACACACACACACAAGTGTACACCCACGTACGCACTAGCCATGATGAGAATAACAGATGACAGCACAAGGATGACGGGGGAGGATGAGGACAGGAGGAAGAGAGGAGAAGGAGAGGAGAGGAGAGAGGAGAGGAGTAGAGGAGAGAGGAGAGGAGGAGGAGAAGAGAGGAGAGAGGAGAGGAGGAGGAGGAGAAGGAGGAGAGAGGAGAGAGGAGAGGAGGAGGAGAAGAGAGGAGAGAGGAGAGGAGGAGGAGGAGGAGAGAGGAGAGAGGAGAGGAAAGAGGAGGAGAGGAGAAGAGAGGAGGAGGAGAGGAGAGAGAGAGAGAAGGTAGAAAGAGGGAGAATTTTCCACCCGCAAGGTGTTCAGTCACTGAGGAGATTCCAGCTTCAGCTATCAGAACAGGACAGAGTCAGGATTAGGTTCAGCGCCTGTGTGTGCGGTCTGCATTGGGCGAAGTAGTCCCATAGCGTAGAGAATGCTTGTCTTGGAAATTAACAAATAGATTAATCATGGACTCTGTCTACCAAATACCAACTAGTAGTACTTCAGACAATACAATACAATACCATGAGAATAGACTGAGTTTAGACAGATAACCACGTATTGACAGATAGTGAGGAGAATCCTGAGTGTCTGTGAGTTTGCCTGAAATCCAGTCATGTTTGGAGTGGCAGGGATTCGCATGATGGCACTAACTGACTTTTAGTTACATTCTACCTCATCACAGTGTCACCACCACAAAACTATTTCTCCATTCTATTCTTCTTCATTGGTGTGATCTATTAGTGTTCTAAATGATATGGCCCAAAATGAAGCAAACATCTAAATAATTTGGGTAGTCATTTCACCCGAGCACTGCTCTCCTAAAACATTTGACTAGATTTTTGTAATGGAGATTGTTTTGTAAATAGTTGTCTTTTTTAAAAGTGTGTTTTGTATGAATCCTTGCATTTTGTCAGTTCTTTTTGAATGTATATATTCTTTTTTTTTGTAACACAAGAGATGTTCAGGTCAAAAGGGCTGGTCATCTAAAGTGTCCAGTATCGTAACGCATCAGTCCTCTCTTATTTCATTGACCAATCCCAGATCGACCCCTAGCCCTAACCCTTATACCCTACACCCTACACCCTACACCCTTCCCCTAGACAGACACTCCCTACACAGATCTGAACTGAAAGGGTGTCACAGAGACAGGAAGTAGATGGAAGCATTATGGCAACAGTTTCAGCTGGCCTATCAAAACACAAGATGGTGCTACAGGGATTAACATATTGCTGTTCCAATGCTTTCAGATCTACACAACTAGTTCATACGGGCTAGGGATCTACTTGCATTTGGGATCATGTATTTAAAGCAGGTTTCAGAGTCATGTTCCTCATCAGCATTTAACATAACTGAGAGATTCTCGCTGCACAGAAAACTACGTATCACTGACTCAGAAGAGAGACTTCAACCAACAGTCAGTGAAGTAGAGCAGAGCCCACAGCTTTGATATGGATAGTTATTAAGACAGTGAATGGATGTGGCTCAATATAAACCCAGTCACTGTCAGACACGGCACTTAGTTATTATGGAGACGATGATGTTCCACCATCTCTGTGAGTTACCTAGCTTTCCTCACTCCACCATCTCTGTGAGTTACCTAGGTTTGCTCCCTCCACCATCCCCCTCTCTCTCCCTACCTCCTCTTTCTATCTCAATAGAGTTCACATAAGACTATTGTTTTTTCACATTCAGAGTAACATTGATTTCTACTCTTGTTTAAGCCACAGTATTATGTTCAATGTGCATGTTGATAACCTGTTGACTTGGTTTCCCTCATAACTGTATGGTTATTTTTGCCATTCACTTTGCTGCATCCCAGAGTATTCCTGTTGCTACCAGCTACCATGATAAAAGTCCACCATTTTGGAAATCGCATATTGATAAATATTTTATTTCCCATGGAAAATGTTTGTGGGATTGTTGTTTTTCAATAGAATAGTCACCCCATCTCCTCTCTCACTCACTAACCCGCTCTCCCTGCCATCGCTCTACGGTCAGTGTCACACACACTCGCCCACTCGCCCTGGGGTGAGGGGTGAACAGATGGGTCTGTTCTGACACATTAGTCACATTTGAGACACACACAACACACACACAACACACACACAACACACACACACTTTATAAATTCATATTTTTGAGGAGGGCCAGTCTGATACGCCTCTCTTAATAGTAAGTAATCTCCATATTAACCCTCTCTACTTAGTAAGTAATCTCCATATTAACCCTCTCTACATAGTAAGTCATCTCTATATCAACCCTCTCTACATAGTAAGTCATCTCCATATCAACCCTCTCTACATAGTAAGTCATCTCCATATCAACCCTCTCTACATAGTAAGTAATCTCCATATCAACCCTCTCTACATAGTAAGTCATCTCTATATCAACCCTCTCTACATAGTAAGTCATCTCTATATCAACCCTCTCTATATAGTAAGTCATCTCTATATCAACCCTCTCTATATAGTAAGTCATCTCTATATCAACCCTCTCTATATAGTAAGTCATCTCTATATCAACCCCCTCTACATAGTAAGTCATCTCTATATCAACCCCCTCTACATAGTAAGTCATCTCTATATCAACCCTCTCTACATAGTAAGTCATCTCCATATCAACCCTCTCTACATAGTAAGTCATCTCTATATCAACCCTCTCTACATAGTAAGTCATCTCCATATCAACCCTCTCTACATAGTAAGTCATCTCTATATCAACCCTCTATATATAGTAAGTCATCTCTATATCAACCCTCTATATATAGTAAGTCATCTCTATATCAACCCGCTGTCCTCCACAATTACATTCTTCCACAGTTTATCCAATCGGATTGGTTGCACTCTGCATTTCCACTGTGTTGGTCTGAAATGACAGCCTGTGTTCTCCGCTGGTGAAGTACAGATTCCAGGCGCCATGTGTGTCTGTCTGTCTGTCTGTCTGTCTGTTTGTCTGTCTGTCTGTCTCTCTGTCTCTCTGTGTGTGTGTGTGTGTGTGTGTGTGTGTGTGTGTGTGTGTGTGTGTGTGTGTGTGTGTGTGTGTGTGTGTGTGTGTGAAAGCAGAGATAGCATGAAATGTTATTAAAGTGATTGGGTCTTTTCTACTCACAATACGTCAGTGGTTATTGTCATGGCTCTGCCTGGCATGGCTGATGGAGGGAATGACAGAGGGAAAGAGTGATGGAGGGAGAGAGAGAGAGAGAGAGAGAGAGTGATGGAGAGAGAGAGAGTGATGGGGAGAGAGAGAGAGTGATGGGGAGAGAGAGAGTGATGGGGAGAGAGAGAGTGATGGGGAGAGAGAGAGAGTGATGGGGAGAGAGAGGGGAGAGAGGAGAGAGAGTGATGGGGGAGAGAGAGAGTGATGGGGAGAGAGAGAGAGTGATGGGAGAGAGAGAGAGAGTGATGGGGAGAGAGAGTGATGGAGAGAGAGAGAGAGAGAGAGAGAGAGTGATGGAGAGAGAGTGAGTGAGAGATGAGAGAGAGAGGGGGGGTGATAGAGAGAGAGGCCTGAGGTAATCTGCCTTTGGCCTAAAGAGTAGGAACCTAGACGTTACCTCTCAGCTTCCCTACCAAATCTAAACATTTCAAACAGAAAACCGAAGAAAATGAACAACAAATGCAAATGGTTTGATGAAGAATGCAAAAATCTAAGAAAGAAATTGAGAAACCTATCCAACCAAAAACATAGAGACCCAGAAAACCTGAGCCTACACCTTCACTATGGTGAATCACTAAAACAATACAGAAATACACTACGGAAAAGAAGGAACAGCACGTACGAAATCAGCTCAATGTAATTGAAGAATCCATAGACTCTAACCACTTCTTGGAAAATTGGAAAACACTAAACAAACAACAACAACAAGAGCTATCTATCCAAAACAGAGATGTATGGGTAAATCACTTCTCCAATCTTTTTGGCCCTATAACAAAGAACAAACAGCAAAAACATATACATGATCAAATACAAAACTTAGAATCAACAATTAAAGACTACCAGAACCCACTGGATTCTCCAATTACATTGAATGAACTACAGGACAAAATACAAACCATCCAACCCAAAAAGGCCTGTGGTGTTGATAGTGTCCTCAATTAATATATACATATAAAAAATACATAAAATATACATAAAATATATACAACCACAAATTCTAATTGGCTATACTTAAATTATTTAACATCATCCTTAGCTCTGGCATCTTCCCCAATATTTGGAACCAAGGACTGATCACCCCAATCCACAAAAGTGGGGCCAAATTTGACCCCAATAACTACTGTGGGATATGCGTGAACAGCAAATTTGGGAAAATCCTCTGCATTATCATTAACAGCAGACTCGTACATTTCCTCAATGAAAACAATGTATTGAGACAGACCACGTACTCAACCTGCACACCCTACTTGACAAACAATCAAAGCTAAACAAAGGCAAAGTCTTCTCATGCTTTGTTGATTTCAAAAAGTCTCCTGAGTGGCGCAGTGGTCTAAGGCACTGCATCGCAGTGCTAACTGTGCTACTAGAGATCCTGGTTCGAATCCAGGCTCTGTCGCAGCCGGCCGCGACCGGGAGACTCATGGGCGGCGCACAATTGGCCCAGCGTCGTCCAGGGTAGGGGAGGGAATGGCCGGCAGGGATGTAGCTCAGTTGATAGAGCATGGCGTTTGCAACGCCAGGGTTGTGGGTTCGATTCCCACGGGGGGCCAGTATAAAAAAAAAAAAAAAATGTATTCACTAACTGTAAGTCGCTCTGGATAAGAGCGTCTGCTAAATGACGTAAATGAAATGTAAAAAAGCTTTTGACTCAATTTAGCATGAGGGCCTGCTATACAAATTAATGGAAAGTGGTGTTGGGGGAAAAATATATGACATTATAAAATCCATGTACACAAACAACAAGTGTGCGGTAAAAATGGGCAAAAAACACACATATTTCTTTTCACAGGGCCGTGGGGTGAGACAGGGATGCACCTTAAGTCCCACCCTCTTCAACATATATATCAACAAATTGGCGAGGGCACTAGAACAGTCTGCAGCACCCGGCCTCATCCTACTAGAATCTGTGCATTACTTTGTGCATGACACAAGTAATTTTTCCAACAATTGTTTACAGACAGATTCTTTCACTTATAATTCACTGTATCACAATTCCAGTGGCTCAGAAGTTTACATACACTAAGTTGACTGTGCCTTTAAACAGCTTGGAAAATTCCAGAAAATGATGTCATGGCTTTAGAAGCTTCTGATAATTGACATCATTTGAGTCAATTGGAGGTGTACCTGTGGATGTATTTCAAGGCCTACCTTCAAACTCAGTGCCTCTTTACTTGACATCATGGGAAAAATCTAAAGAAATCAGCCAAGACCTCAGAAAGAAATTGTAGACCTCCACAAGTCTGGTTCATCCTTGTGAACAATTTCCAAATGCCTGAAGGTACCACGTTCATCTGTACAAACAATAGTCCGCAAGTATAAACACCATGGGACCACGCAGCCGTCATACCGCTTAGGAAGGAGATGCGTTCTGTCTCCTAGAGATGAATGTACTTTGGTGCGAAAAGTGCAAATAAATCCTAGAACAACAGCAAAGGATCTTGTGAAGATGCTGGAGGAAACAGGTACAAAATTATCTATATCCACAGTAAAACGAGTCCTATATCGACATAACCTCAAAGACCGCTCAGCAAGGAAGAAGCCACTGCTCCAAAACCGCCATAAAAAAGCCAGACTACGGTTTGCATCTGCACATGGGGACAAAGATCATACTTTTTGGAGAAATGTCTTCTGGTCTGATGAAACAAAAATTGAACTGTTTGGCCATAATGACCATCGTTATGTTTGGAGGAAAAAGGGGAAGGCTTGCAAGCTGAGGAAAACACCATCCCAACCGTGAAGCACGGGGTGGCAGCATCATGCTGTGGGGGTGCTTTGCTGCAGGAGGGACTGGTGCCCTTCACAAAATAGATGGCATCATGAGGAAGGAAAATGTGGATATATTGAAGCAACATCTCAAGAAATCAGTCAAGAAGTTAAAGCTTGGTCGCAAATGGGTCTTCCAAATGGACAATGACCCCAAGCATACTTCCAAAGTTGTGGCAAAATGGCTTAAGGACAACAAAGTCAAGGTATTGGAGTGGCCATCACAAAGCCCTGACCTCAATCCTATAGAAAATTTGGGGGCAGAACTGAAAAAGCATGTGCGAGCAAGGAGGCCTACAAACCTGATTCAGTTACACCAGCTCTGTCAGGAGGAATGGGCCAAAATTCACCCAATTTATTGTGGGAAGCTTGTGGAAGGCTACCAGAAACGTTTGACCCAAGTGAAACAATTTAAAAGCAATGCTACCAAATACTAATTGAAATACTATGTAAACTTCTGACCCACTGGGAATGTGATGTAAGAAATAAAAGCTGAAATAAATCATTCTCTCTACTATTATTCTGACATTTCACATTCTTAAAATAAAGTGGTGATCCTAACTGACCTAAGACAGGGAATTTTGACTGTGATTAAATGTCAGGAATTGTGAAAAACTGAGTTTAAATGTATTTGGCTAAGGTGTATGTAAACTTCTGATTTCAACTGTATATACCGGCTTTAACGCTTGTCAGATGTGGCAGGGCTTGAAAACTATTACAGACTACAAAGGGAAGCACAGCCGCGAGCTGCCAAGTGACACAAGCCTACCAGACGAGCTAAATCGCCTCTATGCTCGCTTCGAGGCAAGCAACACTGAAGCATGCATGAGAGCATCAGCTGTTCCGGATGACTATGTGATCACGCTCTCCATAGCTGATGTGAGTAAGACTTTTAAGCAGGTCAACATTCACAAGGCCGCAGGGCCAGATGGATTACCAGGACGTGTACTCTGAGCATGCACTGACCAACTGGCAAGTGTCTTCACTGACATTTTCAACATGTCCCTGACTGAGTCTGTAATACCAACATGTTTCAAGCAGACCACCATAGTCCCTGTGCCCAAGGACTCTAAGATAACCTGCCTAAATTACTGCCGACCCGTTTCACTCACGTCTGTAGCCATGAAGTGCTTTGAAAGGCTGGTCATGGCTCACATCAACACCATTATCCCAGAAACCCTAGACCCACACCAATTTGCATACCGCCCCAACAGATCCACAGATGATGCAATCTCTATTCCACTCCACACTGCCCTTTCCCACCTGGACAAGAGGAACACCTACGTGAGAATAATATTAATTGACTACAGCTCAGCGTTCAACACCATAGTGCCCTCAAAGCTCATCACTAAGCTAAGGACCCTGGGACTAAACACCTCCCTCTGCAACTGGATCCTGGACTTCCTGACGGGCCGCCCACGGTGGTAAGGGTAGGTAACAACACATCTGCCATGCTGATCCTCAACACGGGGGCCCCTCAGGGGTGCGTGCTCAGTCCCCTCCTGTACTCCCTGTTCACCCATGACTGCATGGCCAGGCACGACTCCAACACCACCATTAAGTTTGCGGACGACACAACAGTGGTAGGCCTGATCACCGACAATGATGAGACAGCCTATAGGGAGGAGGTCAGAGACCTGGCCGTGTGGTGCCAGGTTAACAACTTCTCCCTCAACGTGATCAAGACAAAGGAGATGATTGTGGACTACAGGAAATAAAAGAGGACTGAGCACGCCCCCATTCTCATCGACGGGGCTGTAGTGGAACAGGTTGAGAGATTCAAGTTCCTTGGTGTCCACATCACCAACAAACTATCACGGTCCAAACACACCAAGACAGTCGTGAAGAGGTCACGACAAAGCCTATTCCCCCTCACGAGACTGATAAGATTTGGCATGGGTCCTCAGATCCTCAAAAAGTTCTACAGCTGCACCATTGAGAGCATCCTGACTGGTTGCATCACTGCCTGGTATGGCAACTGCTCAGCATCCGACCGTAAGGCGCTACAGATGGTAGTGCGTACGTTCCAGTACATCACTGGGGCCAAGCTTCCTGCCATCCAGGACCTCTATACCAGGCGGTGTCAGAGGAAGGCCCAAAAAATTGTCAAAGACTCTAGCCACCCTAGTCATAGACTGTTCTCTCTGCTACCGCACGGCAAGCGGTACCAGAGCACCAAGTCTAGGTCCAAAAGGCTTCTCAACAGCTTCTACCCCCAAGCCATAAGACTCCTGAACAGCTAATCATGGCTCCCCAGACTATTTGCACTGCCCCCCCCCCACCCTCCTCTTTTACGCTGCTGCTACTCTGTTAATTATTTATGCATAGTCACTTTAACTCTACCCACATGTACATATTACCTAATTTACCTCGACTAGCCGGTGCCCCCGCACATTGACTCTGTACCAGTACCCCCCTGTATATAGCCTCCCTACTCTTTAGTTATTTGCTTTTATTTTTTTACTTAACACTTTTTTTTTTTTTTTTACTTTTTCAAAAGAAATAACTGCATTGTTGGTTAAGGGCTTGTAAGTAAGCATTTCACTGTAATGTCTACACCTGTTGTATTCTGCGCATGTGGCAAATACAATTTGATTTGATTTGAAATGACATTTTAAATGTCTTTATTCTTTTGGAACTTCTGAGTGTAATGTTTACTGTTAATATTTATTGTTTATTTCACTTTTGTTTATTATCTACTTCACTTGCTTTGGCAATGTTAACATACGTTTCCCATGCCAATAATGCCCTTAAATTGAAATTGAATTGAGAGAGAGAGAGAGAGATAGAGAGAAGTATGGGGTTATTATGTACAAGCATGGGCGGTGTGTTCAATAGGGCGATATGGGCGACGCACTGCCAAACGGGAAAAGGAAGGGATTTTTTTTCTAATCAATTATATCATGGCAACAGTAGTTCAGTGTTCACGTCTGATCTGCCAGCCACTAAATGTCCAATCAGGCTAAAGTCGTGCTTCAAATGTCCCCGCCCGTTTTGGGGCGATTTCAGTCAGGTTGAAAATCGCCCAGAAGTCTCTCATAGCCTCTAATGTAAAAATTTTTTTTTTCAAATTTCTGAGCTTTCAATACATTCTCTATGGGTGTCTGAGGGCTTGCACTTACGCGCTTTCGTCATACGTAACGTAACGTAACCATGAACGGCAGACAGCAACGCTTGGACAGCGACTGGTGTAACCGACATGCACCATCTTTCAGAAAAGATTAAGAAAAATGAGCTGTCAAAGACCCACATTGATAGCTGTTTGAGATTGTCTGCTTTGGTGAGAGTGAATATTGCCACTCAACTGGATGAGGGATACAGGCTAGCTGTCCGCCGCCACAACGATGAGGTTAGCAACAGCAGAGTCGTGAACACTGTCTACGAGAATCGAGACGACCTCATAGAATGTTTTGAAGCCATCCGGACGGGTTCATTGGGTTCATTTGACCAGCCCACCGTACCAGAAGCTACAGAATAAGGACATCGATGCTGTCTTTATCAAACGTGCCCTCGACAGCTTCGCAAGCAGTGTGCAGGCCATAAGGTAAGATAAAGATTAAACAATATCATTCGATCTTTCTCAAAGCAGAGCTTTATTTGAAAATGTATGCATGAAAGGAGACTGCATTTGTGTTTGAAATTACATTATTGTCATTATATATGGCCAGTGGTGTAATCTATCTTATTTTATATACTATGTGTACTGTACAGTGGTGCTCATAAGTGTATGAACACATTCTAAAGCTGACTAAAAAGAGGAATAAAAAAATAAAAAAATCATCTTTTGGAAATTGATCTTAATGACTTAATTAAAAAAGTTGGAAAATCCAACCTTTAAGGACACCAATTTTCTTTTCTTTTTTATTCCTCTTTTTAGTCAACTTTAGCATGGGATCATAAGCTTATGAGCACCACTGTATACTGTGCTGAACATCCAGGCTATGTGAGACACAAAGGCTAACTTAAACACTAAAGACTTTATGCATCCCTGCCCATTTTAAGTGGAACTGAAGTATTTGTACTATACATGGATACATTGCATATACCTGTGCATCACATAGGGGCGGCAGGTAGCTTAGTGGGTAAGAGCGTTGTGCCAGTAACCGAAAGGTCGCTGGTTCTAATCCCCGAGCCGACTAGGTGAAAAATCTGTCGATGTGCCCTTAAGCAAGGCACTTAACCCTAATTGCTCCTGTAAGTCGCTCTGGATAAGAGCGTCTGCTAAATGACTAAAATGTAAATGTAAACATAGACAACAATACTGTACAAAGCCAACAAACACATTGGTCTGTTTGCCTTCAGGGACTCCTCTCAACAGCAGCTGCAAGAAGCAACAGGAGCCAAAAGACCCAGAACAGCTTTGAGAGAAGAGGAGAAGCAGAGGCTGTCTGAAGAGGTCTGCAACACCATCCTGGATCACACCAAAGAAAGGTTCTCTTTCTCTGGCCACCTTGTGAGTGCTACCTTACTGCAAGCAGACATGTTTGAAAGGTACTGCCATTCAAAAAAATAAAAAATCTGTTCATGTTCATTTTTACAAATCTATACAATTGGCCAGAATATGGTTGTTCATATTTACAAATCTATACAATTGGCCAGAATATGGTTGTTCATTTTTACAAAGCCATACATATTGTTTATGCAGTGTTGAGGAATGTGAAAGAACACCCTTGATTATTTTTACTGTGATAACTTATTTTGCTTTTGTAAGCCAACACTTTTGAGATCAGTCAATAAATGCTTCTGGTATTGACTTATATGCTGCCCCTGTCTTCATGTTGTTGCTGGACATATCTTTTTAAAAATGTGTGTAGGTCACCTAAATCATCAGAAAAATTGCCCCTCCTGAGAATTTTTTCAGGAGCCGCCACTGTGTACAAGATATATATTTCCTGAGGTTATCAAATAGAGTATGAGACAGGTAGGTACTGAGAGAAACAGGAGGAGGAAGAGGACTGAGAGACTTCCTCTGTACTTAGAGAGAAACAGGAGGAAGAGGACTGAGAGACTTCCTCTGTACTTACAGAGAGAAACAGGAGAGAGACAGAGACAGAAACAGGAGGAAGAGGACTGAGAGACTTCCTATGTACTTCCAGAGAGAAACAGAAGGAGGAAGAGGACTGAGAGACTTCCTCTGTACTTACAGAGAGAAACAGGAGGAAGAGGACTGAGAGACTTCCTCTGTACTTACAGAGAGAAACAGAAGGAGGAAGAGGACTGAGAGACTTCCTCTGTACTTAGAGAGAAACAGGAGGAAGAGGACTGAGAGAATGCCTCTGTACTTACAGAGAGAAACAGAAGGAGGAAGAGGACTGAGACTTCCTTTGTACTTACAGAGAGAAACAGAAGGAGGAAGAGGACTGAGACTTCCTTTGTACTTACAGAGAGAAACAGAAGGAGGAAGAGGACTGAGACTTCCTCTGTACTTACAGAGAGTTATGTGATTGACAGTAACACACACCTTGTCTCCTAGCCCCTCCTGTCCTCCACTGTGTGTGTCTGCTGTGCTGCCGTCTCTGAGGAAGGCCACTTCTTCTTCAGTCAGCACCTCCAGGAATGGCTGGGGTGGTTCTGTCCTCATATTACTGGGTCCTGCCTCCTCACCGCTTAAGCTCCTGAATATGATGAATATGATTACAGTTTTTCCCAGTTGTTAACACACGTTTGCTGAAACTACATCTTAGGTACTCAAAACTCAAAACACAAGACACAAAACAGTTTGACAATTTTCCCAAACCCCACAGACATCTTGCAAAATGAAACACAGCAATCAAAATCATGTACTCCCTGCTCAAAATGAAACTATACATACAAATGAGACACACACACACATCAAATTAATCTAACTTAGTGACAACCGAGATCACACTAATGTGACATTCAAAACACTACTATCAGAACCTATTTCAGTGTAAAGATGTTGTTTTTATACTGTATATTGTTTGTGTGTACTCAAACAAGAAAGGAACAAAAATGCAAAAATGTTAGTTTTATATTTCAACATGACTCAATTGTCACGACTTCCGCCGAGGCTGCCTCCCCTCCATGTTCGGGCAGGCTTCGGCGTTCGTCGTCATATCTCATCATTCCATTTGTCTTGTCTTGTCAGTTACACACACCTGGTTCATATTCCCCTCATTAGTCTGTGTATAAGTGTTCCCTCTGCCCCCCTTGTCCTTGTGGGTGATTGTTATTTGTGAGAGTAGTGGAGCTCGGTGGAGCTACTCTCCCTTTGTATTGCCGGGGTAGATATTTCCCCTGTGCCTGTATATTGTTGGAGTATCCCGTACCGTGTATTGCCAGGGTAGATAGTTTCCCATGTGCCTGTTTCCGTGTGTCGCTATCCAGCGCATTTGTGTACGACGGAATAAACTCTGTATTCGGTGATTTACCCTCCTGCACCTGACTCCTTCTATCACACTCATCACATCAATACATGTCAAACAGCATACTGTAAGCACACATACAGTAAAAATGCAAACATAAACTACATATATTTTGCATATGCAAAGAAAGAAAAATAAGTATATTTGTACTACTGTACTGTATGTTAGATCAATAGTTCGGAAAATATAAAATCAAAGTCAAGAAACAAATACTCCATTGCAATAACAAAATCAGTCATATCTGTTGTTTTGTTCCGGCCACAGAATTTCATCAACATCACAGGCGATATTCTCCTTGGCCTGAAAGCGGGGGAAATATCTTCTGGCATGACTCATCCACCCCTGACAGGACTCTGCTGGAATGTCACCACAGGCCTCCTCCATTACCTGGAGAAGGGCCATACGTTCATGGGGTTTGCCATCATACACCTTCCACTGCCATGCTGAAAACAACTCCTCAATGGGGAATTAAGGATATGGGCAGTCTTGTATGGTCCAAGGGTGGCATGGCGGTGGAGGACCCCACTGTGGCTCATAGCTGCTCATATGGTGACATTTCCCCCACGCTGGCCAGGTACCTCAATGACGTTCCTTCCTCTCCTCCTCGTCTTCGCTAAATTGAATCCAGCCTCCTCTATGAATATGAGTTCCTGGGGGATGGGACTTACATCCAACTCCATGATTCTCTGAAATGACAGTAAATACTGTATTTGCTGTATAGTAAAGTTCCTGGCAACATCAATGAGTCTCTAATGTTTCAAGAGTGTAATACTACTACATTGCTTACTTGCACATATTCGTACCGTTTATCCTTCACCTTCACTCTTTGGGAATTCCTTTCAAATGAAACTCTGTTGATTTGCTTAATCCGGAGATGGTGTTTCTTAAGGATGCGGGCTATGGTTGATGAGCTCACTCTGATGTTATGGAAGATGGTTTTCAATAATCTGTTGTTGGATTTCCTGCAGTCTTATTGCATATTTTCAATTACCATTTGCACAATGGCAGCCTCCTGTTAGTCTGTAAATAGACGTATATTGTGGTCGTCTTTCAGTTCTACAAAAACCAAATAGCATGCAGTAACCACTACAGTAAACACTACAGTAAACACTACACTACAGTAAACACTACACTACAGTAAACACTACAGTAAACACTACACTACAGTAAACACTACACTACAGTAAACACTACAGTAAACACTACACTACAGTAAACACTACAGTAAACACTACACTACAGTAAACACTACAGTAAACACTACACTACAGTAAACACTACACTACAGTAAACACTACACTACAGTAAACACTACAGTAAACACTACACTACAGTAAACACTACACTACAGAAACACTACAGTAAACACTACAGTAACCACTACACTACAGTAAACACTACACTACAGTAAACACTACAGTAAACACTACACTATAGTAACCACTACAGTAAACACTACAGTAAACACTACACTACAGTAAACACTACACTCCAGTAACCACTACAGTAAACACTACACTACAGTAAACACTACAGTAAACACTACACTACAGTAAACACTACACTACAGTAAACACTACAGTAAACACTACACTACAGTAAACACTACACTACAGTAAACACTACAGTAAACACTACACTACAGTAACCACTACAGTAAACACTACAGTAACCACTACACTACAGTAAACACACACTACAGTAAACACTACAGTAAACCACTACACTACAGTAACCACTACAGTAAACACTACCAGTAAACACTACACTACAGTAACCACTACAGTAAACTACAGTAAACACTACACTACAGTAAACCACTACACTACAGTAAACACTACACTACAGTAACCACTACAGTAAACACTTACACTACAGTACCACTACAGTAAACACTACACTACAGTAACATACACTACAGTAAACACTCTACACTACACCGTAACCACTACAGTAAACACTACAGTAACCACTACACTACAGTAAACACTACACTACAGTAAACACTACAGTAAACACTACACTACAGTAAACACTACAGTAAACACTACAGTACACACTACACTACAGTAAACACTACACTACAGTAACCACTACAGTAAACACTACAGTAACCACTACAGTAACCACTACAGTAAACACTACAGTAAACACTACACTACAGTAACCACTACAATAAACACTACAGTAACCACTACAGTAAACACTACAGTAAACACTACAGTAAACACTACACTACAGTAACCACTAGAGTAACCACTACAGTAAACACTACAGTAAACACTACACTACAGTAACCACTACAGTAAACACTACAGTAACCACTACAGTAACCACTACAGTAACCACTACAGTAAACACTACAGTAAACACTACAGAAATACAGTATACAACATAAACATGTGACAAAACCATTTCTGTAGGGATCTCGCATTGTGCACTGGGGCATTGTCATGCTGAAACAGGATAGGGCCTTCCCCAAAGGGCCTTCCCCAGAATAGTCTAGAATGTCATTGTATGCAGCAGCGTTAAGATTTCCCTTTACTGGAACTAAGAGGCCTAAAAGGCCCGAACCATGAAAAACAGCCCCAGACCATTATTCCTCCTCCACCAAACTTTACAGATCATGTGACACTAAGGGGCCTATCCCGAACCATGAAAAACAGCCCCAGACCATTATTCCTCCTCCACCAAACTTTACAGATCATGTGACACTAAGGGGCCTATCCCGAACCATGAAAAACAGCCCCAGACCATTATTCCTCCTCCACCAAACTTTACAGATCATGTGACACTAAGGGGCCTATCCCGAACCATGAAAAACAGCCCCAGACCATTATTCCTCCTCCACCAAACTTTACAGATCATGTGACACTAAGGGGCCTATCCCGAACCATGAAAAACAGCCCCAGACCATTATTCCTCCTCCACCAAACTTTACAGATCATGTGACACTAAGGGGCCTATCCCGAACCATGAAAAACAGCCCCAGACCATTATTCCTCCTCCACCAAACTTTACAGATCATGTGACACTAAGAGGCCTATCCCGAACCATGAAAAACAGCCCCAGACCATTATTCCTCCTCCACCAAACTTTACAGATCATGTGACACTCAGATTGCACACAGGTGGACTTTATTTAACTAATTATGTGACTTCTGAAGGTAATTGGTTCCACCAGATCTTATTTAAGGTCTTCATAGCAAAGGGGGTGAATACATATGCATGCACCACTTTTCCGTAATTTTTTTTTTTTTCATTTCACTTCACCAATTTGGACTATTTTGTGTATGTCCATTACATGAAATCCAAATAAAAATAAATTTAAATTACAGGTTGTAATGCAACAAAATAGGAAAAATGCCAAGGGGGATGAATACTTTTGCAAGGCAGTGTAGTCAGGTGTGTTCCTTTCCAAATCATGTACAATCAATTGAATTTACCACAGGTGGACTCCAATCAAGTTGCAGAAACATCTCAAGGATGATCAATGGAAACAGGATGCACCTGAGCTTAATTTCGAGACTCATAGCAAACGGTCGGAATAGTTATGTAAATAAAGTATTTCTGTTTTTTATTTTTTAAATAATTTTGTTAAAAAAACCCTGGTTATGATAACCATTGCAGAATACATTCCTCACCTTTTATGGCCTTGATGAGTTAATATTCCCAAAGTAGTCGTACAACAAATTACCATGCGCATCTCTCATTTAATTGGGCCTATAATTTCAAGTTTATTGCTCTATACATCCGAAGGGGAGCGCGGTTTATAACATACAGTAGAATTTAACAGGTGAACAGACAGTGTGCAGGCTACCAATGTAAGTTAAAAACAAAAATCTGAGTAGGCAATGGTTCAGAATTCATGGGCAGTGCAGCATATTTAGGTTCGGGAAAAATTAAATGCAAAACATTATTGAATTCAAATGATCTGTTTACAGGTCCACAACAATTTGCAATTGTTTTTGTCTTTCAGAAATGGTCAGATACAGCAAATGTCACTGCAAAAGAAAACATTCTGCCAACACCTCCAAATATATACATGTACATCTGATCAAGTTTGCCATGCCTTGCTATTTCCTTTAGATACTGTCTTGGCATAATTCCAATACTTCCACAAAAGGTGAATGATGGGCAGTTTTTCAGGCAGAGTTTTAATGCTTGTTCACACGCATGCAGTTTCAGGACGGGTCTCATTTATAAAGGGAAACATGCAGTTTCAGGACGGGTCTGATTTATAACGGGAAACATGTAGTTTCAGGACGGGTCTGATTTATAACGGGAAACATGCAGTTTCAGGACGGGTCTGATTTATAACGGGAAACATGCAGTTTCAGGACGGGTCTGATTTATAACGGGAAACATGCAGTTTCAGGACGGGTCTGATTTATAAAGGGAAACATGCAGTTTCAGGACGGGTCTGATTTATAAAGGCGAAACATGCAGTTTCAGGACGGGTCTGATTTATAACGGGAAACATGCGTGTTTATACTTTTGTACTTGTGCAGTCTTTTCAGAAATGGCGCATGCAGATATTTAGTGTTAAATGTCCGCAATGCTTATAAATGAGGCCCCAGGTGTTTTACATAACACCAGGGTCCAACTTTAACTTTTTTTCTCACTGGCCCGATTGGGCCAGCTGGTCAAAAATCTACTGGCCGAACAGAATTTCTACTGGCCCGGACTTGGTGTAGTTCTTAAATGCATTGGGGTCATGCGGGGCCTATAGGTTGGCATGCTTTCTCTCTATATTCAGCTTTTAATTGGCTATATTTGGTTATTATTATATGCATTAAAAAGCTGTTTAATATAATTTAGCAATGCAAGTCATTACTCTATTCTTTAGAATTGCATTGTATTAATTGCATTAATGTTTGTAAAGTATGTCATTTTGAGAATAACATTTTTACAACTCCAAATAGGATGCTGCCCCTTTAAGACAAATGTTCCAAGTGAGATTATGATCTGGCTAGCCAAGAATAATGCTAGGTGTCTTTTTGTAGCTTTCTTTGTGCAGACTGTCAACAGCAGCCGGCATAGTGCTAGCGTGTTCACTATTGAAGGTTTACTTTTGCAAATAACTTCCCCTAAAATAAATAAGGTCAGCGAGTAGATTGATGGGCGCTTCTTTTAATTGTAATAAAATCAAATCAAATTTTATTGGTCACATACACGTCTATAGCAGATGTTATTGCGGGTGTAGCGAAATGCTTGTGTTCCTAGCTCCAACAGTGCAGTAGTATCTAACAATTCACAACAATACACACAAATCTAAAAGTAAAATAATGAATTAAGAAATATATAAATATTAGGACGATCGATGTCGGAGTGGCATTGACTAAAATACAGTAGAATATAGTATATACATATGAAATGAGTAAAACAGAATGTAAGTATTATTAAAGTGACTAGTGTTCCATTTAAAGTGACCATTGATTCCATGTCTATGTACATAGGGAAGCAGGGTTGAGTAACCGTGTGGTAGCCGGCGAGTGATGGTTACAGTCTGATGGCCTTGAGATAGAAGCTGTTTTTCAGTCTCTCGGTCCCAGCTTTGATGCAACTGTACTGACCTCGCCTTCTGGATGATAGTGGGGTGAACAGGCCATGGCTCGGGTGGTTGATGTCCTTGATGATCTTTTTGGCCTTCCTGTGACATCGGGTGCTGTAGGTGTCCTGGAGGGCAGGCAGTGTGCCCCCGGTGATGCTTGGGCAGACCGCACCACCCTCTGGAGAGCCCTGCGGTTGCGGGCGGTGCAGTTGCCGTACCAGGCGGTGATACAGCCCAACAGGATGCTCTCAATTGTATATCTGTAAAAGTTTGTGAAGGTCTTAGGGGTCAAGCCGAATTTCTTCAGCCTCCTGAGTTTGAAGAGGCACTGTTGAGCCTTCTTCACCACACTGTCTGTGTGGGTGGACCATTTCAGATTGTCAGTGATGTGTATGCCGAGGACCTTGAAGCTTTTCACCTTCTCCACTGCGGTCCCGTCGATGTGAATAGGGACTTGCTCTCTCTTTTGTCTCCTGAAGTCCACAATTAGCTCCTTCATTTTGTTGACCTTGAGGGAGAGGTTATTTTCCTGGCACAACTCCGCCAGGGCCCTCACCTCCTCCCTGTAGGCTGTCATTGTTGGTAATCAAGCCTACTACTGTTGTGTCGTCTTCAAACTTGATAATTGAGTTGAAGGTGTGCGTGGCCACGCAGTCATGGGTGAACAGGGAGCACAGGAGGGGGCTGAGCACACACCCTGTGTTGAGGATCAGCGTAGTGGAGGTGTTGTTTCCTACCTTCACCACCTGGGGGTGGCCCGTCAGGAAGTCCAGGACTCAGTTGCACAGGGCGGGGTTCAGACCCAGGGCCCCGAGCTTAATGATGAGCTTGGAGGGTACTATGGTGTTGAAGGCTGAGCTATAGTCAATGAACAGCATTCTTACATAGGTATTCCTCTTGTCCAGATGGGATAGGGCAGTGTCCAGTGCAATGGCGATTGCGTCATCTGTGGATCTATTGGGGCGGTATGCAAATTGAAGTGGTTCTAGGATGTCAGGTAAGGTGTAAGTGATATGATCCTTAACTAGCCTCTCAAAGCACTTCATGATGACAGAAGTGAGTGCTATAATATAATAATATGCCATTTAGCAGACGCTTTTATCCAAAGCGACTTACAGTCATGTGTGCATAAATGTTTACGTATGGGTGGTCCCGGGGATCGAACCCACTACCCTGGCGTTACAAGCGCCGTGCTCTACCAATTGAGCTACAGAGGACCACTGTAGCTACGGGGCGATAGTCATTTAGTTCAGTTACCTTTGCTTTCTTGGGTACAGGAACAATGGTGGACATCTTGAAGCAAGTGGTGACAGCAGACTGGGAAAGGGAGAGATTGAATATGTCCATAAACACTCCAGCCAGCTGGTCTGCGCATGCTCTGAGGACGTGGCTAGGTATGCCGTCTGGGCCGGCAGCCTTGCGAGGGTTAACCCTCTTAAATGTATTACTCACGTCGGCCACAGAGAATGAGAGCCCACAGTCCTTGGGAGTGGGCCCCGTCAGTGGCACTGTGTTATCCTCAAAACGGGCGAAGAATGTGTTTAGCTTGTCCGGGAGCAATAATTATACTGTTTGTATTCGACCATATTCCCAGTCACCTTGCCGTGGTTAAATGCGATGGTTCGCGCTTTCAGTTTTGCACGAATGCTGCCATCTATCCACGTTTTTTGGTTTGGGTATGTTTTAATAGTCACAGTGGGAACAACATCCCCTATACACTTCCTGATGAACTCAGTCACCGTGTCCGTTTATACGTCAATGTTATTCTCAGAGACAACCCGGAACATATCCCAGTCTGTGTGATCAAAACAATCTTGAAGCATGGATTCTGATTGGTCAGACCAGCGTTGAATAGACCTTAACACGGGTACTTCCTATTTGAGTTTCTGCCTATAGGAAGGGAGGAGTAAAATGGAGTCGTGATCTGATTTGCCAAAGGGAGAGCGGGGGAGGGCCTTGTAGCCATCCTTGAAGGGGGAGTAACAATGGTCGAGAGTTTTTTTAGCGCGAGTACTACAGGCAATGTGTTGATAGAACTTCGGTAGCATTTTCCTCAAATTTGCTTTGTTAAAATCCCCAGCTACAATAATTGCGGCCTCAGGATATGTGCTTTCCAGTTTGCACAAAGTCCAGTGTAGTTGCTTGTGGACCGTCGTGGTATTGGCTTGAGGGGGAATATACACGGCTGTTACTATAACCGAAGATAATTCTCTTGGGAGGTAATACGGTCGACATTTGATTGTGAGATATTCTAGGTCGGGTGAACAAAAGGACTTGAGTTCCTGTACATTATCACAATCACACCATGAGTGGTTAATCATGAAACATGCATGATTCTTCCCGGAGAGTTCTTTATTCCTGTCTGCGGGATGTACTGAGAACCCAGCTGGCTGTATGGACAGGGTCAGTATATCCGGAGAGAACCATGATTCTGTGAAACAGAGTATGTTACAGAACCTGATGTCTCTCTGGAAGGAGATCCTCGCCCTGAGCTTGTCTACTTTATTGTCCAAGGACTGAACATTAGCGAGTAAAATATTCGGAAGCAGTGGATGGTGTGCACGCCTCCTGAGTCGGACTAGAAGTCCACTCCAAATGCCTCTTCTCAACCGGCGGTGTCTTGGAGCAGCCTCTGGGATAAGTTCAATTGCCCTGGAGAGTACGAACAAAGGATCCAATTCGGGAAAGTCGTATTTCTCGTCGTAATGCTGATGATTTACCGTCACTCTGATATCCAAAAGTTATTTCCGGCTGTATGTAATAACACAAAAAACGTTCTGCTCATTACAACACACAGTAGAGACACTCTGCTCAATACAACACACAGTAGAGATACTCTGCTCATTACAACACACATTAGAGACACTCTGCTCATTACAAAACTCACTAGAGACACTCTGCTCATTACAACACACATTAGATACACTCTGCTCAATACAGCACACAGTAGAGACACTCTGCTCATTACAACACACAGTAGAGACACTTTGCTCAATACAACACACATTAGAGACTCTCTGCTCAATACAACACACAGTAGAGACACTATGCTCATTACAACACACAGTAGACACTCTGCTCATTACAACACACAGAAGAGACACTCTGCTCAATACAGCACACAGTAGAGATACTCTGCTCATTACAACACATAGTAGAGACTCTGCTCAATACAACAAACAGTATAGACACTTTGCTCAATACAGCACACAGTAGAGACACTGCTCATTACAACACACAGTAGAGACACTCTGCTCATTACAACACACAGTAGAGACACTCTGCTCAATACAACACACAGTAGAGACAATCTGCTCATTACAACACACAGTAGAGACACTGTAATAATTACAACACACAGTAGAGACACTTTTCTCAATACAACACATGGTAGAGAAACTCTGCTCAATAAAACACACAGTAGAGACACTCTGCTCATTACAACACACAGTAGAGACACAATGCTCATTACAACACACAGTAGAGACACTCTGCTCATTACAACACACAGTAGAGACACACTGCTCATTACAACAAACAGTAGAGACACTCTGCTCATTACAACACACAGTAGAGACACTCTGCTCATTACAACACACAGTAGAGACTCTGCTCATTACAACATACAGTAGAAATACTCTGCTCATTACAACACACAGTAGAGACACTGCTCATTATAACACACATTATAGACACTCTGCTCATTACAACACACAGTAGAGACACGCTGCTCATTACAACACACAGTAGAGACACTCTGCTCATTACAACACACAGAAAAGACACTCTGCTCATTACAACATACAGTAGAGACACTCTGCTCATTACAAAGACAGTAGAGACACTCTGCTCATTACAACACACAGTAGAGACACTCTGCTCAATACAACACACATTAGAGACAATCTGCTCATTACAACACACAGTAGAGACATTGTGCTCATTACAACACACAGTAGAGACACTCTGCTCATTACAACACACAGTAGAGACTCTGCTCATTACAACATACAGTAGAAACACTGCTCATTACAACACACAGTAGAGACACTGCTCATTATAACACACATTATAGACACTCTGCTCATTACAACACACAATAGAGACACTCTGCTCAATACAACACACAGTAGAGACACTGCTCTTTACAATACACATTATAGACACTCTGCTCATTACAACACACAGTAGAGACACTCTGCTCATTACATCACACATTAAAGACACTCTGCTCAATACAGCACACAGTAGAGACACTCTGCTCATTACAACACACAGTAGAGACACTTTTCTCAATACAACACACAGTAGAGACTCTCTGCTCAATTCAACACATAGTAGAGACACTCTGATCAGTACAACACACAGTAGAGAAACTTGTCATTAGAACACACAGTAGAGACAATCTGCTCAATACAACACACAGTAGAGACAATCTGTTAATTACAACACACAGTAGATATACTTCTCATTACAACACACAGTAGAGACAATCTGCTCAATACAACACACAGTAGAGACTCTGCTAATTACAACACACAGTAGACACTCTGCTCATTACAACAGACAGTAGAGACACTCTGCTCATTACAACACACAGTAGAGACACTCTGCTCAATACAACACACATTAGAGACAATCTGCTCATTACAACACACAGTAGAGACATTCTGCTCATTACAACACACAGTAGAGACTCTGCTCATTACAACATACAGTAAAAACACTCTGCTCATTACAACACACAGTAGAAACACTGCTCATTACAACACACATTATAGACACTCTGCTCATTACAACACACAGGAGAGACACTCTGCTCATTACAACACACAGTAGAGACACTTTACTCAATACAACACATAGTAGAGACTCTCTACTCAGTACAACACACAGTAGAGAAACGTGTCATTCGAACACACAGTAGAATGATTACTTCATCCTAGCCCAGGTGTTCCTTAAAGAGGTGGGGTTTCAAATGTCTCCGGAAGGTGGCGCAGTGGTCTAAGGCACTGCATCGCAGTGCTAACTGTGCCACTAGAGATCCTGGTTTGAATCCAGGCTCTGTCGCAGCCGGCCGCGACCGGGAGACTCATGGGCGGCGCACAATTGGCCCAGGGTAGGGGAGGGAATGGCTGGCAGGGATGTAGCTCAGTTGATAGAGCATGGTGTTTGCAACGCCAGGGTTGTGGGTTCGATTCCCACGGGGGGCCAGTATAAAAAAAAAGTTGTAATCACTAACTGTAAGTCGCTCTGGATAAGAGCGTCTGCTAAATGACTTAAATGTAAATGTGGTGAGTGACTCCGCTGTCCTGGCGTCGTGAGGGAGCTTGTTCCACCATTGGGGTGCCAGAGCAGCGAACAGTTTTGACTGGGCTGAGCGGGAACTGTGCTTCAGCAGAGGTAGTGGAGCCAGCAGACCAGAGGTGGATGAACGCAATGCCCTCGTTTGGGTGTAGGGACTGATCAGAGCCTGAAGGTACGGAGGTGCCGCTCCCCTCACAGCTCCGTAGGCAAGCACCATGGTCTTGTAGCAGATGCGAGCTTCAACTGGAAGCCAGTGGAGTGTGCGGAGGAGCGGGGTGACGTGAGGGAACTTGGGAAGGTTGAACACCAGACGGGCTGCGGCATTCTGGATGAGTTGTAGGGGTTTAATGGCACAGGCAGGGAGCCCAGCCAACAGGGAGTTGCAGTAATCCAGACGGGAGATGACAAGTGCCTGGATTAGGACCTGTGCCACTTCCTGTGTAAGGCAGGGTCGTACTCTCCGAATGTTGTAGAGCATGAACCTACAGGATCGGGTCACCGCCTTGATGTTAGCGGAGAACAACAGGGTGTTGTCCAGGGTCACGCCAAGGCTCTTCGCACTCTGGGAGGAAGACACAACGGAGTTGTCAACCGTGATGGCGAGATCATGGAACGGGCAGTCCTTCCCCGGGAGGAAGAGCAGCTCCGTCTTGCCGAGGTTCAGCTTGAGGTGGTGATCCGTCATCCACACTGATATGTCTGCCAGACATGCAGAGATGCGATTCGCCACCTGGTTATCAGAAGGGGGAAAGGAGAAGATTAGTTGTGTGTCGTCTGCGTAGCAATGATAGGAGAGGCCATGTGGGGATATGACAGAGCCAAGTGACTTGGTGTATAGCGAGAATAGGAGAGGGCCTAGAACTGAGCCCTGGGGGACACCAGTTGTGAGAGCATGTGGTGCGGAGACAGATTCTCGCCACGCCACTTGGTAGGAGCGACCGGTCAGGTAGGACGCAATCCAAGAGTGAGCCGCGCCGGAGATGCCCAGCTCAGAGAGGGTGGAGAGGAGGATCTGATGGTTCACAGTATCAAAGGCAGCAGACAGGTCTAGAAGGACAAGAGCAGAGGAGAGAGAGTTAGCTTTAGCAGTGCGGAGAGCCTCCGTGACACAAAGAAGAGCAGTCTCAGTTGAATGACCAGTCTTGAAACCTGACTGGTTTGGATCAAGAAGGTCATTCTGAGAGAGATAGCAAGAGAGTTGGCTAAAGACGGCACGCTCAAGAGTTTTGGAGAAAAAACAAAGAAGGGATACTGGTCTGTAGTTGTTGACATCAGAGGGATCGAGTGTTGGTTTTTTGAGAAGGGGTGCAACTCTCGCTCTCTTGAAGATGGAAGGGACATAGCCAGCGGTCAAGGATGAGTTGATGAGCGAGGTGAGGTAAGGGAGAAGGTCACCGGAGATGGTCTGGAGAAGAGAGGAGGGGATAGGGTCAAGCGGGCAGGTTGTTGGGCGGCCGGCCGTCACAAGTCGCAAGATTTTATCTGGAGAGAGAGGGGAGAAAGAAGTCAAAGCATAGGGTAGGGCAGTGTGAGCAGGACCAGCAGTGTCATTTGACTTAACAAACGAGGATCGGATGTCGTCAACCTTCTTTTCAAAATGGTTGACGAAGTCATCCACAGAGAGGGAGGAGGGGGGGGGGGGGGGGGGGGGGGGAGGGGGAGGAAGATGCTTGGAATTTAGAGTGGTAGAAAGTGGCTTTAGCAGCAGAAACAGATGAAGAAAATGTAGAGAGGAGTGAAAAGATGCCAGGTCCGCAGGGAGTCTAGTTTTCCTCCCGCTCGGCTGCCCGGAGCCCTGTTCTGTGAGCTCGCAATGAGTCATCAAGCCACGGAGCAGGAGGGGAGGACCGAGCCGGCCGGGAGGATAGGGGACATAGAGAGTCAAAGGATGCAGAAAGGGAGGAGAGGAGGGTTGAGGAGGCAGAATCAGGAGATTGGAGGGAGAAGGATTGAGCAGAGGGAAGAGATGATAGAATGGAAGAGGAGAGAGTAGCGGGAGAGAGAGAGAGAAGGTTGCGACGGTGCATTACCATCTGAGTAGGGACAGAGTGAGTAGTGTTGGAGGAGAGCGAGAGAGAAAAGGATACAAAGTAGTGGTCGGAGACATGGAGGGGAGTTGCAGTGAGATTAGTAGAAGAACAGCATCTAGTAAAGATGAGGGGTCCAAGCGTGAGCGGACAAGTGCAAGAGGGGAGGAGGGGTGCGGGCGGGGGGGTGGGGCGCGTGCGGTGGGGCCCCCCGGGGGGAGGTGGGGGCGGGGGGGAGGGGGGGGAGGGTGACCCCGTGGGCGGGGGGGGACCGGGGAAGTGCAGGGGAAGGAAGGGAATAACAACACAAAAAAGAGCGGAGAGGAGGGCAGGGGAAGAAGGGGGTAAGGGGAGCGAAAGAGTGGGAAGAAAAGGAGGAGAAAAAAAAAAAAGAGGAGAGGGAGGGAAAGAAGGGAAAGAAGGTACAAAATGGGAAAGAAAGAAGGAGGGGCAGCACAGGGAATGGAAAGACAACCAGAAGGGGAAAGAAAAGAAGACGGGAAGAAAAAAAAGAAGGAGGAAGAGAGAATGACCGAAAGAAAAGAAGGAGAAAGAAGGATAAAGAAAGAAAGAAGAAGAAAAAAAGAAGGAGCAGAGAGAAATGAGTCAAGGTGGTAGAACGTAGGGAGGTTGTGAAATGAAGTCCAAAAAAGAAAAGGGGACCGAGGGGGGGGTGGAGGGTGGGAAGATGAGCCACGGGAGGAGAAAATGGCGTGAGGGTGAGCCCAAGTGTGTGAGCCATCTCAGGAAAGGAAAGGAACCTACAAAGCGTCAAGAGGCTCATTGATGAAACTCTCCACGGGAGGGAAAATGGACGGGAGATAGAGATAAATATAAGAGGAGCGATAATTTATTTATTTATGGGCGAATATTATAAATGACAAGGATGTGAAGCTTGAATGGGCTAGTGACGTGACAGAATGGAATTCAAAATGAGGGGAGATAGGAGAGGAGAGGAGGAGAAAGAGGAGTGGAAGGGAACAAAGATGCCTCCGGTCTTGTGTGTGGAGATTGAGAAGTGAGTCCGAGAAGAAGGGCCCAACACAGGGGGAAGTGAGAGGAGGCAGGGAAGGGGAAAAAAAAAAGAGGAAAAGACCACAAGATGGACCAGAGATAGAGGGATATGAGAGAGCGAGGAGACAAAGAGAGAACCACATGGAGTCTCAGGACGCAGGATGAGAGAGCAGAGGAGGAGGAGAAGGCGAGGGCTAAGGAGGCAGGAGACAGCGCTGCCCAGTAGGGGGGGGAAAGGGGAGCAGTTGGTTCGTCATAGGTGGTATGGGTTTATTATGTGGGTAATCCATTGTTTCCGTCAGCGCAAGAGTCGAAGGGAAGGGGAGGGTAGTTAGAGGGGGGAGGTAGTGAGTAGGATTATGAGGATTAGTATAGGCTAGTATGTGTAGTATTAGTTAGTTCCAGTATAGGCTGAGTGAGTGAGATGACTCTGCCTTGTTGGCAGGCAGAGAACAGACGGCAGTTCCAAGAGGCTGCCTGAGACCTGGAATCCACGTGGGTCGGTTCGTGCAGCGACAACCAGGTTAGAAGGCAGCAGCGGTGTGAGTGGAGGCGTGTGTATAGCCTGTGCGGGAGAGAGAGGGAAGAACAGGGGATAGAACAGGGCATAGTTGACAGGCTACAGAAAATGGCTACAATAATGCAAAGGAGATCGGAATGAAATGAACTAAACATCTGGGAAAGGAGAGAGCGGGGCCTCCCTCACTTACGTTTCACTGAAACACCCAAATATAACTCTCCCAACTTCCACCTCAGAAACTATAATTGTTGTAAACTACGGCGGTTCAATGTTTTCTAGGAATAGACTAACTTAGTGTCACGTACGTTCATCGACGGGTCAGACCAAGCTGCAGCGTGATATGCGTACATGTTTATTTTAATGAATAAACAACCGACAAACAATAAACAAACGAAACGTGAAGTCCAAGTTAGAAAACAAAACATACCTACACGGAACAAGATCCCACAACCCACTAGTGCCAATAGGCTGCCTAAGTATGGACCCCAATCAGAGACAACAAGCTACAGCTGCCTCTGATTGGGAACCACACCGGCCAACATAGATCTACACATATTAGAAACCCAACATAGAAATACACAACATAGAACATACACACCCTGACTCAACATATACGAGTCCCCAGAGTCAGGGTGTGACAGTACCCCCCCCCCCCCCCCCCCCAAAGGTGCGGACTCCGACCGCACAACATAAACATAACAGGGTAGGGGCCGGGTGGGCATTCCGCCTCCCTGTTGCGCCCCTGGTCTGGACCTCGGCGCGCTGCTTGCCCTCTCCTTCCTCCCACGAAGTACCAAGCCCTGTCTGGACCCTGGTGTGGGAGACCCCGAACCTGGAGAGGGGCTGACGTCTGGGTCTGGACTGAAACCGCTGACTGGAGTTGGACCCGACGACGGTGGAGCGAACTGCTCTGGCTCCGGAGTGGAGCCGCTGACCGGAGCTGGATCAAGCACCGGTGGAGCGGAGTGCTCTGGGTCTGGACTGGAACCGCTGACTGGAGCTGGACCCGACGACGGTGGAGCGAACTGCTCTTGCTCCGGAGTGGAGCCGCTGACCGGAGCTGGATCAGGCACCGGTGGAGCGGACTGCTCTGGCTCCGGAGTGGAGCCGCTGACCGGAGCTGGACTGGACCCCGGTGGAGCGGATTGCTCTGGCTCCGGAGTGGAGCAGCTGACCGGAGCTGAACTTGGCACCGGTGGAGCGGACTGCTCTGGCTCCGGAGTGGAGCAGCTAACCGGAGCTGGATCAGGCACCGGTGGAGCGGACTGCTCTGGCTCCGGAGTGGAGCAGCTGACCGGTGCCGGACTAGGCACCGGTGGAACAGGCACGGGCCGTGCCGGACTGGACACACGCACCACTGGCCTGGTGCGGGGAGCAGGAACGGGCAGTACCGGACTGGCGACGCGCACCACTGGCCTGGTACGGGGAGCAGGTACAGGCCGGGCCGGGCTGGCGACGCGCACCACTGGCTTGGTGCGAGGGGCAGGAACAGGCCGGGCCGGGCTGGCGACGCGCACCACTGGCTTGGTGCGAGGGTCAGGAACAGGCCGGACCGGGCTGGCGACGCGCACCACTGGCTTGGTGCGAGGGGCAAGAACAGGCCAGGCCGGGCTGGCGACGCGCACCACTGGCTTGGTGCGAGGGGCAGGAACAGGCCGGACCGGGCTGGCGACACGCACCACTGGCCTGGTGCGAGGAGCAGGAACGGGCCGGACCGGACTGCGAAGGCGGACTGGAGGTCTGGAGCGGAGAGCTGGCACAACCCGTCCTGGCTGGCTGCCCACTTTCGCACTACACGTGTGGGGCGCTGGCACAGGACGCACTGGGCTGTGCACGCGCACTGGCGATACAGCTCTTAGAACTGGCACAGGATACGCGGGACCGAGGAGGCGTACTGGAGACCAGGAGCGTTGAGCCGGCACACCCCGTCCTGGCTGGATGCCCATCTTCGCACGGCACGTGCGTGGTGCTAGCACAGGACGCACTGGGCTGTGCACGCGTACTGGCGATACAGTACGTAGCTCCGCATAACACGGAGCCTGCCCAGTCACACACCTCCTCGCGTGAGTACGGGGAGTTGGCTCTGCTCTAACACTAGGCTCCGCCAACCACCCTTTTAGCCCCCCCAAAGAAAATTATTGGGGCTGTCTCTCGGGCTTCTTCCTCGGCCGGCACCTTCCGCGTTGCCGCTGCTCCTCTCTCTACCGCGCCTCCACTGTCTCCTCCCAAGGACGGCGATCCATCCCGGCCTGAATCTCCTCCCAAGTCCAGGATCCCTTACTGTCCAGGATCTCCTCCCAGGTCCAGGCTGTCTGCTCTTGGACACGCTGCTTGGTCCTCGTTTGGTGGGATCTTCTGTCACGTACGTTCATCGACGGGTCAGACCAAGGCGCAGCGTGATATGCGTACATGTTTATTTTAATGAATAAACAACCGACAAAACAATAAACAAACGAAACGTGAAGTCCAAGGTAGAACACAAAACATACCTACACGGAACAAGATCCCACAACCCACTAGTGCCAATAGGCTGCCTAAGTATGGTCCCCAATCAGAGACAACGAGCTACAGCTGCCTCTAATTGGGAACCACACCGGCCAACATAGATCTACACATCAAATCAAATCAAATCAAATCAAATGTTATTGGTCACATGCGCCGAATACAACAGGTGCAGACATTACAGTGAAATGCTTACTTACAGCCCTTAACCAACAGTGCATTTATTTTAAACAAAAAAAGTAAGAATAAAACAACAACAAAAAAAGTGTTGAGAAAAAAAGAGCAGAAGTAAAATAAAGTGACAGTAGGGAGGCTATATATACAGTAAAATAAAGTGACAGTAGGGAGGCTATATATACAGGGGGGTACCGTTGCAGAGTCAATGTGCGGGGGCACCGGCTAGTTGAGGTAGTTGAGGTAATATGTACATGTGGGTAGAGTTAAAGTGACTATGCATAAATACTTAACAGAGTAGCAGCAGCGTAAAAAGGATGGGGTGGGGGGGCAGTGCAAATAGTCCGGGTAGCCATGATTAGCTGTTCAGGAGTCTTATGGCTTGGGGGTAGAAGTTGTTGAGAAGTCTTTTGGACCTAGACTTGGCACTCCGGTACCGCTTGCCGTGCGGTAGCAGAGAGAACAGTCTATGACTAGGGTGGCTGGAGTCTTTGACAATTTTGAGGGCCTTCCTCTGACACCGCCTGGTATAGAGGTCCTGAATGGCAGGGAGCTTTGCCCCAGTGATGTACTGGGCCGTACGCACTACCCTCTGTAGTGCCTTGCGGTCAGAGGCCAAGCAGTTGCCATACCAGGCGGTGATGCAACCAGTCAGGATGCTCTCGATGGTGCAGCTGTAGAATTTTTTGAGGATCTGAGGACCCATGCCAAATCTTTTTAGTCTCCTGAGGGGGAATAGGCTTTGTCGTGCCCTCTTCACGACTGTCTTGGTGTGTTTGGACCATGATAGTTCGTTGGTGATGTGGACACCAAGGAACTTGAAGCTCTCAACCTGTTCCACTACAGCCCCGTCGATGAGAATGGGGGCGTGCTCAGTCCTCTTTTTTTTCCTGTAGTCCACAATCATCTCCTTTGTCTTGGTCACGTTGAGGGAGAGGTTGTTGTCCTGGCACCACACGGCCAGATCTCTGACCTCCTCCCTATAGGCTGTCTCATCGTTGTCGGTGATCAGGCCTACCACTGTTGTGTCGTCGGCAAACTTAATGATGGTGTTGGAGTCGTGCCTGGCCATGCAGTCATGGGTGAACAGAGAGTACAGGAGGGGACTGAGCACGCACCCCTGAGGGGCCCCCGTGTTGAGGATCAGTGTGGCAGATGTGTTGTTACCTACCCTTACCACCTGGGGGCGGCCCGTCAGGAAGTCCAGGATCCAGTTGCAGAGGGAGGTGTTTAGTCCCAGGATCCTTAGCTTAGTGATGAGCTTAGAGGGCACTATGGTGTTGAATGCTGAGCTGTAGTCAATGAATAGCATTCTCACGTAGGTGTTCCTCTTGTCCAGGTGGGAAAGGGCAGTGTGGAGTGCGATAGAGATTGCATCATCTGTGGATCTGTTGGGGCGGTATGCAAATTGGAGTGGGTCTAGGGTTTCTGGGATTATGCTGTTGATGTGAGCCATGACCAGTCTTTCAAAGCACTTCATGGCTACAGACGTCAGTGCTACGGGTCGGTAGTCATTTAGGCAGGTTATCTTAGAGTTCTTGGGCACGGGGACTATGGTGGTCTGCTTGAAACATGTTGGTATTACAGACTCAGTCAGGGACATGTTGAAAATGTCAGTGAAGACACTTGCCAGTTGGTCAGCACATGCTCGGAGTACACGTCCTGGTAATCCGTCTGGCCCTGCGGCCTTGTGAATGTTGACCTGCTTAAAAGTCTTACTCACATCGGCTACGGAGAGCGTGATCACATAGTAATCCGGAACAGCTGGTGCTCTCATGCATGCTTCAGTGTTGCTTGCCTCGAAGCGAGCATAGAAGTGGTTTAGCTCGTCTGGTAGGCTTGTGTCACTGGGCAGCTCGCGGCTGTGCTTGCCTTTGTAGTCTGTAATAGTTTTCAAGCCCTGCCACATCCGACGAGCGTCAGAGCCAGTGTAGTATGATTCAATCTTAGACCTGTATTGACTCTTTGCCTGTTTGATGGTTCGTCGGAGGTCATAGCGGGATTTCTTATAAGCGTCCGGGTTAGAGTCCCGTTCCTTGAAAGCGGCAGCTCTACCCTTTAGCTCAGTGCGGATGTTTCCTGTAATCCATGGCTTCTGGTTGGGGTATGTACGTACGGTCACTGTGGGGACGACATCATCGATGCACTTATTGATGAAGCCAGTGACTGATGTGGTGTACTCCTCAATGCTGTCTGAAGAATCCCGGAACATGTTCCAGTCTGTGCTAGCAAAACAGTCCTGTAGCTTAGCATCTGCGTCATCTGACCACTTTTTTATTAACCGAATCACTGGTGCTTCCTGCTTCAGTTTTTGCTTATAAGCAGGAATCAGGAGGATAGAGTTATGGTCAGATTTGCCAAATGGAGGGCGAGGGAGAGCTTTGTATGCGTCTCTGTGTGTGGAGTAAAGGTGGTCTAGAGTTTTTTTCCCTCTGGTTGCACATTTAACATGCTGGTAGAAATTAGGTAGAACGGATTTAAGTTTCCCTGCATTAAAGTCCCCGGCCACTAGGAGCGCTGCATCTGGATGAGCGTTTTCCTGTTGATTAATGGCCTTGTACAACTCATTCAGAGCAATCTTAATGCCAGCATTGGTTTGTGGTGGTAAATAGACAGCTATGAAAAATATAGATGAAAACTCTCTTGGTAAATAGTGTGGTCTACAGCTTATCATAAGATACTCTACCTCAGGCGAGCAAAACCTTGAGACTTCCTTAGTATTTGATTTTGTGCACCAGCTGTTGTTTACAAATATACACAGACCGCCGCCCCTTGTCTTACCAGAGTCATTAGAAACCCAACATATTAGAAACCCAACATAGAAATACACAACATAGAACATACACACCCTGACTCAACATATACGAGTCCCCAGAGTCAGGGCGTGACACTTAGTTTATTCAGCTAGCTAACTTGGTACAGTATTCTTCCGTGAAAATCGTCCAGGGCACCTAGTCATATGACGCCACAGCCAACTAGCATGCCGGACTCCAACAACACGGTTTAGCACCAATACTCGGCCACAACAAACCACCAGTGTGTCAACACGCCAAGCAGATCTTTCGTGTCCGTGTCTAACGTTGTGGGTTAGTCCCGACAGCTTGAGCGAGTCCGTCGTCAACTTATTCAGCCAGTTAGTTAGCTAGAATAGTTAGCATACTAGCTAGCCATTGCTTTCAGACAAAGAAGAAACCCCTCCTCCCACGGCACGAACACACAGAGAGAGCCAAGCTAACGTTAACTAGTCACCCATGTCCCGAATTCCCTTGAACGACTCTGGCTACCAGTATGTAAAAACAAAACACAAATGTAGGTTATAACTTACCCCTAGCAGCTACTGTTAGCTAGTCAAGTGCAAAGCTAGCCACTGAATTGACTCAGCCAGTTCGCGTCTGTTCGCTAGGTCGTTCCAGCTATTGCTTAGTAGCTATCCAGGTAGCAACAAGCTAGCTAAATTTCAAGCACAGTAGCCACTTACTACCTAACGTTAACGCTTCAGACAATGAGGTTAGAAAAACAGCTGAATGGTAGGCATTATTGTATGTAATTATTGTAGGCAGCTAGCTGGCGTAATTACAGGTACTCTCAGGCGTGAAACAACTATCCACAGTTGCTAATAGTTACCAGTAGCTACCCGCTAACTAGTCCAGGTAGTGGGTTAGCTAGCTTCGTGCTTCACCGGGCTCAGCCGAATACAATACTAACCTACAATAATTACATACAACAACCCACGATAACTACCTACAATACCTAACTACAATCTAAATACATAGTTTAAGATTTACTCATCCTTGCTGTCTTCCCTCAACAGTTTTTGCCTCTGAGGCTATCACTTTATGGCTAGTCAAATCCAAAATATAGCTAAATTAATAATTATCATCTGTTAAACCGTTAGCTAAATATATATATTCTTCACCCCAATTGGTAGTTACAGTCTTGTCCCATCTCTGCAACCCCACCAAGCCGCACTGCTTCTTGACACACTGCTCGCTTAACCCGGAAGCCAGCCGGACGAAACACCGTCCAGCTGGCGATCGAAGTCAGCATTCAGGCGCCCGGCCCACCACAAGGAGTCACTAGAGCGTGATGGGACAAGGAAATCCAGGCCGGCCAAACCCTCCCCTAACCCAGATGACGCTGGGCCAATTGTACGTCGCCTCATGGGTCTCCCAGTCACGCCCAGCTGTGACACAGCTTGGGATCGAACCCAGGGCTGTAGTGACACCTCAAGCCCTCAAGCACTGAGATGCAATGCCTTAGACCACTGCGCCACTCGGGAGGCCCAGCAGGTAGCTAATTGGACTATATACATTAGCTTGTTACAAATCTTGCACCACAGCAGTCTCTACCCCCACATCTCACAAAGCTAGCTAGCTAGCTAACATTAGCTATTCATTTTGTAACTTGAACGGTGAATTACCTAGATAACAAATTATCCTCAATAACAACATATCAGTGTTGTAGTATTTAGCCTGGTATTAGCTAAGTTACATGCCTTTTTAAACTCGTGTGGTGGGGGGAAGCTAGCTATTCGGTAATGTTTGACCGTTGTCTGCTCTGTCTGTCTCACCCAACTAGTACTACTGCTGAATTTGGCAAGCAAACTTAGCCCATGCACTGGCCCACGAGGCAACTGTTGGCGCCAAATGTACAACGGCGGGAAAGAGAGTGAAATTCTAAAATATTTTAGAAGATCACCAGTAGGCATGTCTTGATTCCAGCCAAGGCCGGCCCGCTCATTAGGCAGGATTAGGCTGCCTATGGCGACAGTTTGAAGAGGGTGACATTTTCTGAGCTAAACTGACCAAGACGCACCTCCAAAAACACATAAAACCTCACATAATTCTGCCACAAAACAATGACAATTTCTCTCAACCAGTGGGCTTTTTAGGTGAGCGCTGATGCCGCCTCGTGATAAGCAGTGCCCACTTTGTCAAAGGTATGGGCGCAAAATATTAATCTTGTACATTCCCAACGCACCTCTCCAGGGTGTTGTTGGAGAGACGCATCACTGCCATGCTCCACCAACATTCCGTCAAAAAAATCATCTAACATAAATCATGTAGCAGATATAGGATATGGTAGAAAGTGGAAGTGGCCTTTTCTGTAGCCTACAGGCTGGAGATAAAATGTATGACAATGTAATGAGACAGACACTTTTTACATCATGCAGGTTTCTCCGATCAAATAGCCTAACCTAAACGGTGCCAAATCAAAGAAAACATTTGCTGAAATGTTAACAAACAACATAACCTAAAAACAGGACAGGTCAAAGTAAAATGGACTATATGGAATGGATAATCAGGCTACTCGCAACTGCTGTCCAGGAGTTTCACCCTGTGTGCTAAATTGTCATGATCAATGGTTTCAAGTTTGTCTGTCAATTTTGTACGAGCTGATCATAGTGAAAAAGACAATTCTGTAGCATTTCCCGCTGTGTAAACACATTGCAAATAGGCTCAGGATAACTCCTGATAAAGTTGGGTAGCTGATATTCAGAGATTAAATTGCCACATTGATTAGTCACAGGAATCAGGACTAATAAAGCTAATGCAACTGCCTGTTTTACAAACGGTGGGCCTACCACATGGATGGGCATTCATAAAATTCCATTGCAGGCCGACGTGTTAGGCTACACCCAAGTAAGCACGGACCGACGCTGATGTCTAATGGATGTATTTTTCTGGTCCTGTCCGGACCAGCAGTCTTTTTTTGGTGCAGCCAAGACCGGCCTTGATGTCCACTTCCACGGACGTTGGTTTTGGTCCGGTCTGGGCCAGCATTGCTTTGGCCCAAACATAGACGTCTATGTTTGGTTCAGATTTGGTGCGGTCCGACCGGTCCTGATTTCAACGTCCACAGACATAGATTTTTGGTCCGGACCAAATCTGAACCATTTATAGATGTCTATGTTTTGTTCAGATTTTGTCCGGTCTGGACCAGTCTTGATTTGGACCAAACATAGATGTCTAATTTTGGTTCAGATTTGATCCGGTCTGGACAGGCCTTGATTTGGTCCAAACATATATATCTATAAATGACGTCTTTTCAACTTTAATTCAGAACCGAAAATGAACCTGATGCCAATGTCCGGAAAATACATATTTTCACCTTTCATTCAGAACCTAAATTGAGCCTAACTTCAACGTCTGGAAGATACGTATTTTAGACATCTTTTCAACGTAATTTTGCTTACTGGGACTATTCTAGTTTTGCGGGGGGTACTTTGAAGCAAGCAGCAGACAAGTTCAAACACTGCAAAAAATTCAACTGTAATGAGAGAGAGAGAGAGAGAGAAGAGAGAGAGGAGAGAGAAGAGGAAGAGAGAGCAGAGAGAGAGAGAGAGAGAGAGAGAGAGGAGAGAGAGAGAGAAGAGAGAGAGATGAGATGCGAGAGGAGACCCCGAGAGAGAGTGAGCAGCTCGAGGAGATCGAGAGACCGGGACAGGACTGAGAGAGATCCCGAGAGAGCCCAGGGAGAGAGACGTCGAGACCCATCCGAGCTTCGACCGAGAGAGAGAATGAGAGGAGAGGGCCATTGAGAGAGACTGAGAGAGAAGACGAGAGGAGAGAGAGACATGAGGAGATGGAGGACGCCGGGAAGAGAGGATGAGAGAGAGGACGAGAGGGGAGAGAGACGAGAGAGAGAAGAGATGGAGAGAGAGGAGTGGAAGAGAGAGAGAACGGAGAGGAGAGAGAGAGAGATAGGAAACGGTCGAGAGAGAAGAGGGTGCAGAGTGAGAGATACGAGTCGAGAGGAGACAAGGCATTCCGTAGGTTGAGTGGATCAGTCATAAATAGTTCTTAAGCCATTGAGTGTGTGGTTAGTATCAGTCTCTTAATGCTTTTCCTATGGATCCTAAAGAAGAGCTCGTAATTCACTCCCAAATCAATAAGACATGTCAGGGGACATGTTCCTTTCATGTAGCCTAATGCCCATATGCATTTTTAATGAGTTAATGCATTACTCTCTAAAAATCAATAATATAGTCAGACTAATGCTCTGCATCAAATACTCCTCATCAAATATCTAAGAGTGTTTGGTCAAAGACAGTTCAGTGGGAAAATTGAAAATACTGTAGAGAGAAAGAAAATGTATAAAGCTATGTGAAAAATAACTGCAGAGAGAGAATAGAGGGTGTGTGACTTTAATTTAATTTTCAAATAAAAATAAAATACACGGAAACAAAGTTCAATCAGTAGAGAAGTAAAATAAGCAATGTTATTGTTCATGTTAATTTGATTGGAATTCTAAATTATAGAAACTGACAGTCCTGGTGAAACTTGTTGGTCCGTGGGCGTTTCATCTCTACCTTTCATTTATTACACACCCCTCCTCCTTCCAGACACACACACACACACACACACACACACACACACTTCAGTCACATATTGATGGTACTATTATGAGGGGAACATGCCTGATCAGGCCTGCTGTGGCAGAGATTCAGGTCTGACTCATCAATCATTTACACACACACAGACTCCTGGGAGACATGTCTGGGGCTGCTGGGTCGCAGGTGTGGAGACTGAAGTAGAAAGTGGGAATTATTCCTTAAAGAGAAACAGCTCTCTTTCTCCATCCCTCCCTCCGCTTTGAAAACGCTCCATTTCCATCCACATTTCCTTCAGCAAATTTAAAAACCACACTTCCCCCCTCAAACGCTCACACATTCACTCACTCACACACACACACACACACACACACACACACACACACACACACACTCTCTCTCTCTCTCTCTCTCTCTCATTCTCTCTCTCTCTCTCTCTCTCTCTCTCTCTCTCTCTCTCTCTCTCTCTCTCTCTCTCTCTCTCTCTCTCTCTCTCTCTCTAAATCTTAAGTCCCTCATTAGGCCAAGAAGAGAATGTAGGCTATTATCACTGCAGTCCCTATTATCACTGCAGACCCTATTATCACTGCAGACCCTATTATCACTGCAGACCATATTATCACTGCAGACCCTATTCTCACTGCAGACCCTATTATCACTGCAGACCCTATTATCACTGTAGACCCTATTATCACTGCAGACCCTATTATCACTGCAGACCCTATTATCACTGCAGACCCTATTATCACTGCAGACCCTATTCTCACTATAGACTCTATTCTCACTATAGACCCTATAGTCACTGCAGACCCTATTATCAATGCTGACCCTATTATCACTGTAGACCCTATTATCACTGTAGACCTTATTATCACTGTAGACCCTATTATCACTGTAGACCCTATTATCACTGTAGACCCTATTATCACTGCAGACCCTATTATCACTGCAGACCCTATTATCACTGCATACCCTATTATCACTGCTGACCCTATTATCACTGCAAACCCTATTCTCAATGCAGACCCTATTATCACTGCAGACCTTATTATCACTGCAGACCCTATTATCACTGCTGACCCTATTATCACTGTATACCCTATTATCACTGTAGACCCTATTATCACTGCAGACCCTATTATCACTGTAGACCCTATTCTCACTATAGACCCTATTGTCACTGCTGACCCTATTATAACTACATACCCTATTATCACTGCAGACCCTATTATAACTGCAGACCCTATTATCACTGCTTACCCTATTATCACTGCAGACCCTATTCTCACTGCAGACCCTATTATCACTGCATACCCTATTATCACTGCAGAACCTATTATCACTGCTGACCCTATTATCACTGTAGACCCTATTATCACTGTAGACCCTATTATCACTGCAGACCCTATTATCACTGTAGACCCTATTCTCACTATAGACCCTATTGTCACTGCTGACCCTATTATAACTACATACACTATTATCACTGCAGACCCTATTATCACTGCAGACCCTATTATCACTGCATACCCTATTATCACTGCTGACCCTATTATCACTGCAGACCCTATTCTCACTGTAGACCCTATTATCACTGCAGAACCTATTATCACTGCAGACCCTATTATCACTGCAGACCCTATTCTCACTGTAGAACCTATTATCACTGCAGAACCTATTATCACTGCAGACCCTATTATCACTGCAGACCCTATTCTCACTGTAGACCCTATTATCACTGCGCAGACCCTATTATCACTGCAGACCCTATTATCACTATGGACCCTAATATCACTGCAGACCCTATTATCACTGCAGACCCTATTATCACTGCAGACCCTATTCTCACTGTAGAACCTATTATCACTGCAGAACCTATTATCACTGCAGACCCTATTATCACTGCAGACCCTATTCTCCCTGTAGATCCTATTATCACTGCGCAGACCCTATTATCACTGCAGACCCTATTATCACTATGGACCCTAATATCACTGCAGACCCTATTATCACTGCAGACCCTATTATCACTGCAGACCCTATTATCACTATAGACCCTATTATCACTGCCGACCCTATTATCACTGCCAACCCTATTATCACTGCTAACCCTATTATCACTGCAGACCCTATTCTCACTGTAGACCCTATTATCACTGCGCAGACCCTATTATCACTGCAGACCCTATTATCACTATGGACCCTAATATCACTGCAGACCCTATTATCACTGCAGACCCTATTATCACTGCAGACCCTATTCTCACTGTAGAACCTATTATCACAGCAGAACCTATTATCACTGCAGACCCTATTATCACTGCAGACCCTATTCTCACTGTAGACCCTATTATCACTGCGCAGACCCTATTATCACTGCAGACCCTATTATCACTATGGACCCTAATATCACTGCAGACCCTATTATCACTGCAGACCCTATTATCACTGCAGACCCTATTATCACTATAGACCCTATTATCACTATAGACCCTATTATCACTGCCAACCCTATTATCACTGCTAACCCTATTATAACTGCATACCCTATTATCACTGCATACCCTATTATCACTGCTGATGCTATTATTACTGCAGACCCTATTATCACTGCATAACCTATTATCACTGCATACCCTATTCTCAATGCAGACCCTATTATCACTGCAGACCTTATTATCACTGCAGACCCTATTATCACTGCTGACCCTATTATCACTGTAGACCCTATTATCACTGTAGACACTATTATCACTGTAGACCCTATTATCACTGCATACCCTATTATCACTGTAGACCCTATTATCACTGTAGACCCTATTATCACTGCAGACCCTATTATCACTGCAGAACCTATTATCACTGCAGACCCTATTATCAATGCTTACTTTATTATCACTGCAGACCCTATTCTCAATGCAGACCCTATTATCACTGCAGACCTTATTATCACTGCAGACCCTATTATCACTGGTGACCCTATTATCACTGTAGACCCTATTATCACTGTAGACCCTATTATCACTGCAGACCCTATTATCACTGTAGACCCTATTATCACTGCAGACCCTATTATCACTGTAGACCCTATTCTCACTATAGACCCTATTGTCACTGCTGACCCTATTATAACTACATACCCTATTATCACTGCAGACCCTATTATCACTGCAGACCCTATTATCACTGCTTACCCTATTATCACTGCAGACCCTATTCTCACTGCAGACCCTATTATCACTGCATACCCTATTATCACTGCAGAACCTATTATCACTGCTGACCCTATTATCACTGTAGACCCTATTATCACTGTAGACCCTATTATCACTGCAGACCCTATTATCACTGTAGACCCTATTCTCACTATAGACCCTATTGTCACTGCTGACCCTATTATAACTACATACCCTATTATCACTGCAGACCCTATTATCACTGCAGACCCTATTATCACTGCATACCCTATTATCACTGCTGACCCTATTATCACTGCAGACCCTATTCTCACTGTAGACCCTATTATCACTGCAGAACCTATTATCACTGCAGACCCTATTATCACTGCAGACCCTATTCTCAGTGTAGAACCTATTATCACTGCAGAACCTATTATCACTGCAGACCCTATTATCACTGCAGACCCTATTCTCACTGTAGACCCTATTATCACTGCGCAGACCCTATTATCACTGCATATCCTATTATTGCTATGGACCCTAATATCACTGCAGACCCTATTATCACTGCAGACCCTATTATCACTGCAGACCCTATTATCACTATAGACCCTATTATCACTGCCGACCCTATTATCACTGCCAACCCTATTATCACTGCTAACCCTATTATAACTGCATACCCTATTATCACTGCAGACCCTATTATCACTGCATAACCTATTATCACTGCAGACCCTATTATCACTGCAGACCCTATTATCACTGCATACACTATTATCACTGCTGATGCTATTATCACTGCAGACCCTATTATCACTGCATAACCTATTATCACTGCAGACCCTATTATCACTGCAGACCCTATTATCACTGTAGACCCTATTATCACTGCAGACCCTATTATCACTGCTGACGCTATTATCACTGCTGACCCTATTATAACAACATACCCTATTATCACTGCAGACCCTATTATCACTGCATACACTATTATCACTGCTGATGCTATTATCACTGCAGACCCTATTATCACTGCATAACCTATTATCACTGCAGACCCTATTATCACTGCAGACCCTATTATCACTGTAGACCCTATTATCACTGCAGACCCTATTATCACTGCTGACGCTATTATCACTGCAGACCCTATTATCACTGCATAACCTATTATCACTGTAGACCCTATTCTCACTATAGACCCTATAGTCACTGCTGACCCTATTATAACTACAGACCCTATTATCACTGCAGACCCTATTATCACTGCAGACCCTATTATCACTGCTTACCCTATTATCACTGCAGATCCTATTCTCACTGCAGATCCTATTATCACTGCATACCCTATTATCACTGCATACCCTATTATCACTGCTGACCCTATTATCACTGCAGACCCTATTCTCACTGCTTACCCCATTATCACTGCAGACCCTATTATCACTGCTCACCCTATTATCACTGCTGAACCATTTATCACTGCAGACCCTATAATCACTGCTGACCCTATTATCACAGCATACCCTATTATCACTGCTGACCCTATGATCACTGCAGATCCAATTAACACTGCAGACCCTATTATCACTGCAGACCCTATTTTCACTGTAGACCCTATTATCACTGCAGACCCTATTATCACTGCAGACCCTATTATCACTGCAGACCCTATTATCACTGCATAACCTATTATCACTGCATACCCTATTATCACTGCAGAACCTATTATCACTATAGACCCTATTATCACTGCAGACCCTATTATCACTGCAGACCCTATTATCACTGCAGATCCTATTATCACTGCAGACCCTATTATCACTATAGACCCTATTATCACTGCAGACCCTATTATCACTGCAGACCCTATTATCACTGCAGATCCTATTATCACTGCAGACCCTAGTATCACTATAGACCCTATTATCACTGCAGACCCAATTATCACTGCAGACCCTATTATCACTGCAGATCCTATTATCACTGCAGATCCTATTATCACTGCAGATCCTATTATCACTGCAGACCCTATTATCACTACATACCCTATTATCACTGCAAACCCTATTATCACTGCAGATCCTATTATCACTACAGACCCTATTATCACTTTATACCCTATTATCACTGCAGACCCTATTATCACTGCAGATCCTATTATCACTGCAGACCCTATTATCACTGCAGACCCTATTATCACTGCAGACCCTATTATCACTGCAGACCCTATTCTCACTGTAGAACCTATTATCACTGCAGAACCTATTATCACTGCAGACCCTATTATCACTGCAGACCCTATTCTCACTGTAGACCCTATTATCACTGCGCAGACCCTATTATCACTGCAGACCCTATTATCACTATGGACCCTAATATCACTGCAGACCCTATTATCACTGCAGACCCTATTATCACTGCAGACCCTATTATCACTATAGACCCTATTATCACTGCCGACCCTATTATCACTGCCAACTCTATTATCACTGCTAACCCTATTATAACTGCATACCCTATTATCACTGCAGACCCTATTATCACTGCATAACCTATTATCACTGCAGACCCTATTATCACTGCAGACCCTATTATCACTGTAGACCCTATTATCACTGCAGACCCTATTATCACTGCTGACGCTATTATCACTGCAGACCCTATTATCACTGCATAACCTATTATAACTGTAGACCCTATTCTCACTATAGACCCTATAGTCACTGCTGACCCTATTATAACTACAGACCCTATTGTCACTGCTGACCCTATTATAACTACATACCCTATTATCACTGCAGACCCTATTATAACTGCTGACCCTATTATAACTACATACCCTATTATCACTGCAGACCCTATTATCACTGCAGACCCTATTATCACTGCTGACCCTATTATCACTGCAGACCCTATTCTCACTGTAGACCCTATTATCACTGCAGAACCTATTATCACTGCAGACCCTATTATCACTGCATACCCTATTCTCACTGTAGAACCTATTATCACTGCAGAACCTATTATCACTGCAGACCCTATTATCACTGCAGACCCTATTCTCACTGTAGACCCTATTATCAATGCGCAGACCCTATTATCACTGCAGACCCTATTATCACTATGGACCCTAATATCACTGCAGACCCTATTATCACTGCAGACCCTATTATCACTATAGACCCTATTATCACTGCCGACCCTATTGTCACTGCCAACCCTATTATCACTGCCAACCCTATTATCACTGCTAACCCTATTATAACTGCATACCCTATTATCACTGCATACCCTATTCTCAATGCAGACCCTATTATCACTGCAGACCTTATTATCACTGCAGAACCTATTATCACTGCTGACCCTATTATCACTGTAGAACCTATTATCACTGTAGACCCTATTATCACTGCAGACCCTATTATCACTGTAGACCCTATTATCACTATGGACCCTAATATCACTGCAGACCCTATTATCACTGCAGACCCTATTATCACTGCAGACCCTATTATCACTATAGACCCTATTATCACTGCCGACCCTATTATCACTGCCAACCCTATTATCACTGCTAACCCTATTATAACTGCATACCCTATTATCACTGCAGACCCTATTATCACTGCATAACCTATTATCACTGCAGACCCTATTATCACTGCAGACCCTATTATCACTGTAGACCCTATTATCACTGCAGACCCTATTATCACTGCTGACGCTATTATCACTGCAGACCCTATTATCACTGCATAACCTATTATAACTGTAGACCCTATTCTCACTATAGACCCTATAGTCACTGCTGACCCTATTATAACTACAGACCCTATTATCACTGCATACCCTATTATCACTGCAGACCCTATTATCACTGCAGACCCTATTATCACTGCTGACCCTATTATCACTGCAGACCCTATTCTCACTGTATACCCTATTATCACTGCAGAACCTATTATCACTGCAGACCCTATTATCACTGCATACCCTATTCTCACTGTAGAACCTATTATCACTGCAGAACCTATTATCACTGCAGACCCTATTATCACTGCAGACCCTATTCTCACTGTAGACCTTATTATCACTGCGCAGACCCTATTATCACTGCAGACCCTATTATCACTATGGACCCTAATATCACTGCAGACCCTATTATCACTGCAGACCCTATTATCACTATAGACCCTATTATCACTGCCGACCCTATTATCACTGCCAACCCTATTATCACTGCCAACCCTATTATCACTGCTAACCCTATTATAACTGCATACCCTATTATCACTGCATACCCTATTATCACTGCTGATGCTATTATCACTGCAGACCCTATTATCACTGCATAACCTATTATCACTGCAGACCCTATTATCACTGCAGACCCTATTATCACTGTAGACCCTATTATCACTGCAGACCCTATTATCACTGCTGACGCTATTATCACTGCAGACCCTATTATCACTGCATAACCTATTATCACTGTAGACCCTATTCTCACTATAGACCCTATAGTCACTGCTGACCCTATTATAACTACAGACCCTATTATCACTGCAGACCCTATTATCACTGCAGACCCTATTATCACTGCTTACCCTATTATCACTGCAGACCCTATTCTCACTGCAGACCCTATTATCACTGCAGACCCTATTATCACTGCATACCCTATTATCACTGCTGACCCTATTATCACTACAGACCCTATTCTCACTGCTTACCCCATTATCACTGCAGACCCTATTATCACTGCTCACCCTATTATCACTGCTGACCCATTTATCACTGCAGACCCTATAATTACTGCAGACCCTATTCTCACTGTAGACCCTATTATCACTGCGCAGACCCTATTATCACTGCAGACCCTATTATCACTATGGACCCTAATATCACTGCAGACCCTATTATCACTGCAGACCCTATTATCACTATAGACCCTATTATCACTGCCGACCCTATTATCACTGCCAACCCTATTATCACTGCCAACCCTATTATCACTGCTAACCCTATTATAACTGCATACCCTATTATCACTGCATACCCTATTATCACTGCTGATGCTATTATCACTGCAGACCCTATTATCACTGCATAGCCTATTATCACTGCAGACCCTATTATCACTGCAGACCCTATTATCACTGTAGACCCTATTATCACTGCAGACCCTATTATCACTGCTGACGCTATTATCACTGCAGACCCTATTATCACTGCATAACCTATTATCACTGTAGACCCTATTCTCACTATAGACCCTATAGTCACTGCTGACCCTATTATAACTACAGACCCTATTATCACTGCAGACCCTATTATCACTGCAGACCCTATTATCACTGCTTACCCTATTATCACTGCAGACCCTATTCTCACTGCAGACCCTATTATCACTGCAGACCCTATTATCACTGCATACCCTATTATCACTGCAGACCCTATTATCACTGCAGACCCTATTATCACTGCTGACCCTATTATCACTGCAGACCCTATTCTCACTGTATACCCTATTATCACTGCAGAACCTATTATCACTGCAGACCCTATTATCACTGCATACCCTATTCTCACTGT